TGTCTGTTTGTCTGTTTGTACGGGCTAACCTCCGAATTTATTGGATCGATTTAAAAGAAATTTTGCATTGTGGTACCTTATATCCCCGGACAACGTCTTTGATATTTTTTATCCCGGAAAATATAATGGTTCCCGTGGGATAGTTAAAAAACTATTATAACTTATACAACTTATGCACCTAATTTAGTAAAATTTAACATTCTGATTCTGATACATTCTGATACCTTATATTGCCGGTCAAACAACCGGTTACTTTTCATCCGGGAAAAATGAACGGTTCCCGTGGGAACTAATAGATTTGTATTAGTGTTTTTCTATCTATGAGAATAAAGTTTGAAAGTATCGTCAATCGTTTATGTAATCGTTTAATAGTATACTTATCTAAAGTAGCGAGTAGTAATGCGATTAATTCGGGCGACCCACCTGGCGCGTGGCCAGCGCCCACCGGGGCGGCCCGCCCTTTGTTTCTAGTACAGATGTCACCTGTAACCTGTAATCGAAGCTCTTCCTACTCACCTATTTTAGATTTTTGTAAATTTACATAATAATTATAGTTTTGTAACACGTATTTAAGTTAATTTTATTGATTCATTACGTTTTAATAAGGAATTAAGACTAAGTTCATACGTTTTTTAATGGTTAAAAACATTTCTAAATAAGTTTTTATGGGGGCATTCAAATATTAGGTAAGCAGTAGTAATTAGCCCACCCTCCCCCTTCTGTGCCTACGTAAACCCGTAATCCCTAAACATGCTTCTCGCTTTTGAGCATAGACAAGTAGGGTTGTCATGTGTGTTCGTAAACGTAATTACCATTCGAATCCCCCGTACCCATGTGATCAAAACTAAACATACCAAAGACCCCCCAGCCCTATGGTGCTTACATAATACTTGAATGGCTCTTTAGAGATTTAGTGCTATATAATTTAATAACTTATATTTGAAACTCTCCGCTCGCTTAATTCATGTTACGTATGTATTTTCGATTCGAACTGATATTTGCAAAGACAGATGCATTCGAACAAAATATTTTCGGCTTCGCAATATTAGTAGGTACAGACAACAAAAAACAGTATTAAATTAAAGTAAACGTGATATTTTAAAAATATACCTTTAAATTTAGTCACTGTACGACTTCGGTAACATTTAGAATGCTAAGGAGAAAAACCACAAAGTATTAAAAAATCATTCATTCATACAGAAATATCACAGAATATATTTAAATTCTTCCTTGACCCTATCAAGCTCGGTTATAGAGTAGGTAGTAACAAAGTTCTAAACTGTTATTAGTTATTACCCCTAGCTATATATACGTATATACACAAGCCATATGTAACTATAAAAACATGGAGAAACTTTAGTGCGTGTTTACGACCTGAAAGGCTTAAGCACTACGAGTTTATTGCCTTGTAACTGTCAAATATCATACTTTCTATATACAGCTACTTGTGTCGCTTAAAAGAATATTACAAAAATGTTAATGTAAAGATAGTGTACTCATTAATATTTGTATGAACTTCCATTTCTAATTACAAAATGAAAAGGGTGAAGTTTTAAATATAGTTTTTGCCTTTGCCTAATTTTATAAAAAAATATACGTCGTAATGTATATATATATATATATATATATATATATATATATATATATATGCCAATATACATGCTCTCACTATAATCTCTCTCTTTTTTCATATAGAGACAATCCAGTTCATCTCCCATGCACTTCTTAGTCATAATGATACGTTTTATTAGAACTAAACTACGAGAAACATAGTATCTCTACCGTATACGAACGCATCTAGTCTCATCAAACATACGAGAGAAATTACAAAACATAATAAAGCCACGTTGGTCATCATATATTACCTATACATAAAATTACACAGTTTTGTGTCTGGAACACATTTTTTTACAACAACATACTTTGGAAATCCTAAAAACACATTAATTAATTTCTACTTAACCGACATTGAAATATTAGATTTTTATTCTATTTACATAACCACCTAACGACATTGTAAATCTTAAACTCGAGCTGCATCGGACTTATGATCTAACTTCTAATGTTAGATGCGCGGGCGCATTGTACGCGACTATTTTAGACCCGGCTCGATACCGCCCGGTGACCTGCCAAAAATGTGGCCCACTGCTCTTCTACGGAATCGACAATGTATATTTGTCTTTTTCTGCTTGTTGATACCTGTCACCAATTGTCTATAGCGTTTAATTTCTAGTATACACTGTAGCATATACTAGGTATAGCGCGCGGCTTTTAGTGCGGCTTTCTTAACCATCTAGTTCCATGGAAAGTTACGACACTTGTGTTATGGATATCAAATAGTTAATACACTACACATATACAACTTTAAATACATACATAATATAAATATAAACACCCATGACTGGAGTACAAATATTCGTGTTCATCAAAAAAATGAATGTCCCCAGCGGGACTCGAACCCGCGATCGCTGGCACAGCAAGTAGAGTCGCTACAAACTGAGTCAAACGTGTCGTCAAAATATAAACATGTGAAATTAAGTTAAAATGACTCGTGTGCGGGATTGCTATTATGTTGTATTGAAATAACTATGTATAAGTCGACATTTAAAAGTGCAACTGTTGAGTTTCTTGTCGGCTTCTCAGCAAAACTACATTTCAAATCGTTGCTGGTAGCTTCCTTACGATCGCCGGTCGGACCACACTGGCTGTCTGTAATTAAATGAAGTTATCGATTCAAAAGTGCTTGTAAAAGTCCTAATCGATTAAAATATATATAAATAAGTAGTTACGTTTTAACGATTAGTATAGATTTCTCAGAGATGGGATATTTTCCCGCAGAAAAAGTATCCTATATGTTGACCCGGACAACCAGTTATTATCGTACCGAATTTCATCAAAATCCGTCTAGTGGTTTTCTCGTGATGCGTCCCCAGACAGGCAAACAAAAATTCTAAATACTACAGATTCGACCTCTGTATAGATAATAATGACTATTTCAATAAGATTTTCCAAAAAAATATTTAATGTACAGACTCAGAATTTTATAATATTTATAGATATTACAAAATATAATATACATTAACATTAAAAAAGTATTTCAAACGCATTCGCAACTCTTCTTGTGTTGCAGTAGTATATACCAATGTACTCTGTGGTTGCAGATGTCTATGAGCATTGATAACTGAAAAAACCGTATGAAGTTCTTAAGAAATATCTCTTGATCACATGTCCAGTTATTTTAAAGAAAAACTTTATTGCTTTAAAAATAACAATTAAGAAGCTGTTGCAGACACAAAAGGTAGAAATTTTTCATTTGCGACGTTTTTGTTACAACGAATTGGAAAGCAGCCCTTCTTGGGCACGTGAACTATGCCATGCCGTGACTCACAGTGTATATTTGGATAGCGCGTCGTCTGGCTGCATGTGGGGAGGGAAGTGGGAAAGATGTGATAGGCAAATTATTACTATTTATTTTTCAATATTAATTAGCACTGGAGTTTTAAATTCGTAAGTGAAATGCAGATATTTCGCAAACAATAAAACGGTTACGATACGTTTTTTTTAGGTTGGAAGCTTAAAATGCTTAATAAGTCCAGCTATTCCACGCGGTATGTACACATATAATTATACATACGGAAGAAGTATGTAATAAGTACATAATAACATGATCTCTCAATAATAATGTAACGTAATCTCGATATGTTTTTAATAAAAATGTATACTATTTTTTTTCAAAACATCGAAACACGAAGACTTCAAAATCGCTTAAAAATAATGATGTAGGTAGTTCACCTTTAGCGATATAACTCTTTTTTTGAAATTTATGCGGAACAACCCTTGAGGTATAACTTATCTATTTATTAAAATATCTACATATATTGATTTACAATTGGCGAATGTATCTAATAACATATACATAAAAATAATAGCCAAGTTGAGAACGAGGTATTCCACTCGGCCTTTCAAAGTATGGTAAATGTACACGAATACATACAAGTAACGTCAGCTCCAAATTTTGTTATAGGTATCGTATATGTTTTAAAATAAGTTTAACTTGAAACATAGATGGAAGGTCTATCAATAAGAATATTATGTAATTACCTAAAATAGCATAAAGTTCAACTTACCACAGGAAAAATGATCTCATCACGAGCGGAAAGCTGAGTTTAGGTATTCCATGTATTAATTCGAAGTCATAAAAGTGTACAACTACGATATCGTATATCGGTCTCAAGGCCTGGGTGTAAGTGGGGACGTGGCTGTTATGAGCGCCGCCCACGTAAGAATGTCGGATTTTAGCGCCGGTTAGCACAATTTTTTTACTCATTTCTTCTATAACATTTACCGAGTTGACGTTATTGTGTAATAAAGAGAGCTTCTTAATTGTTAAAGATCAAAATGATAGAGAAATAAGAGTTTCTGATACTAAATTGAATGTACACAAAGTATATTCAGTTACAATATAATTAGATCTACATTTAACTAGTGTAGAGGTGAAATATTTAGCTGTGCTTATTGATGTTTGCATAACACTAATTATTTTTCTAATAATTACATAATAATCAGCAATCTGCAAATGGTCGGCTCTATAGGTGTATAGCTCTCAAAACCGCAGACTCCTGTCCAACGCTTAGCTTGCTTACTTTACTAAATATTTACAGCTTAAAATCTCGAGTGAATCATCATTAGAGAAATGTCCGTTTATAAATAGAGCTGTCAACCTGAAGGGCGACCTCGATGAGCCGTGACAAGGCCTTTTCCGCTACACCGACTTTTTCTAACGCACGCTAATGCTTGCTGCATCAAATGTCTGTGGCCACTGATGTAACGCATCTAAATATATCTTAATCTCTTCGTATGATATTTTTAAAATTTCTTTTTAACTAGAAGCCGATTTTAATAGTCCGTTTTCAAAAAGTTCAGTCTAAAATCAATTATTTGGCTTCAATAAGCTACTGTTTATTTGAAAACAAATGTAACGTGTTATTCATTGTTCCCAGGAGACAGTACAGACCAGTGGCGGTAAGGTGACCAGCAGCCGTCGCGTAGAGGAGTTTGATATCGAGCAGTGCTGGGACGAGCGTGTGCTGCGAAAACTTGTAAGTAATGTTTTAAATAACAAGTTGAACAGTGTTACCGAGAGTTAGGTAAAAATACTTAATAATCTAATTATTTATATTTTTCGTCCTGGATTGGAAGAGTACTTTTAATTTTTAATAAATGAGACAATTATAAAAACATATTTTGAAGAAAAACACTTTGATGAAAAAGATTAAAATATTAATTATTTATGATATTTATGATAAATCTTTTGTTAAATTTAAATGTATAAATCTACATTTAAAACTTTTAACTAAAAATTATAACATAAAAACATAAAAAGACCGACGCACATACTCGTGTTATTGTAGATATCTCAGTTCACTTTCTTCACATGATGCCGAGTCATCAAAGAAACGTCGTGCCTCATGATGACTGACAATTTTTGTATATAGAGATGTTTTTGCTTTATACTGATGGTATATTGTTTAGCATGCATTGTCACTTTGCACCTTCGTTTAAATTTTTTTATATTTTTTCTCATCTGTGGATTTTGCGTTATATATATATGTATCAATTTATGATTAACCTAGCGGCTCACCCTCGCTTCGCTCGGGTTCGTCGCTAGGTACGTTTTAAATAGATATAAATAGTTATTAGCCAGTGTTATTAGCCATATAAATATATTTTTTTCGTTAATTTTTCTGACGTTTTAATACTTAGGTATTAACCTATTCCGGAATGAGAGAAATCCAAAAATTCAAATATCATAAAAATTGGTCCAGCCGTTCTTGAGTCTTGTATACGGGAACGCAGTCGAATGGGCTAAAAAGTATCCTATGTCCGTCTCCTCGTTCTAAGCTACCTCCCCACCAAGTTTCAGCCAAATCAGTTCAGCCGTTCTTGAATTATAAATAGTGTAACTAACACGACTTTCTTTTATATATATAGATATAGATAGATAGATTACGAGTTGGCTTATCGAGAGTGCGTCCTGTCGCCCGGTCTCGGACAAATTGCGCGATCGATGCGTGGAGACTGGAGGAAGGTCTTTTTGATAATATCATAAGCTAACTTTCACATGCGGGTCTGTCCATGTGGGTCTGTTCATGTGGCCATAAGAGAACGACTTGCAGTTAGCAGACATTGAAACATTCCGTGACTAGGATAAATATCAATAAAAATATTTTTATTGATTTTTTATTGACAGCATATGTCGATATTTTGTATTTTTATAAAGCGGCACGTTTTGATAATGCTATAAAAGTTGTAAGCGTATCATAATCTATCTATACATATAATAAAATTCTAACCGAGTCGAATCTGAACATTGAATATTTTTTGGAATATCTTATTGAAATAGTGATTATTATCGATACAGAGGCCGAATCCTTAGTTTTTAGAATTTTTGTCTGTCTGCCTGAGAACGCATCACGAGAAAACCACAGGACAGATTTTGATGAGGTATGATGTTAGCTGGTTATTCGGGTCAACATATAGGATACTTTTTACTACGGGAAAATATCTCATCTCTGCGAAATCTATCCTAACCGTAATAAATGCAAAATTTTAGTAAATATTGAAAGAGTAAATTTCTGAATGGGTAGAGCTTAACTTATTATGAACGTAGGTACCTGTATAATCTATCTTCTATCTATACTATAATAAAACTGTAGAGGTCGAATGTCTGAAAAGAAATGCTTAAAACCGAGTCAGGGGGGTGTAAGAAGAGAAATAGAACAAATCTAGTTTTTTTTTTCATTTTTTTTGTTTCTTTGCCTGTTTGTCCGTTTGTCTGTTTGTACGGGCTAATCTCCGAATCTCTTGGACCGATTTAAATGAGATTTTGCATGGTGGTACCTTATATCCCCGGTCAACATTTGAGATACTTTTATTCCCGGAAAATTAAAGGGTTTCCGTGGGATAGTTAAAAAACTATAGTAACTTATACAGCTTAGTACACAAAAACTAGTGTATTATAAATATTTATAATATGCTAGCGGCTCACCCTCGCTTCGCTCAGGTTCACCTCTAGACAAACAAAAACAAATTTATCCCACGGGACCATACATTTTTCCGGGACACAAAGTAGTTTATTTGTTATTTAGATATATGAACTATATTATTGTAAAATTTCATTAAAATCCAATGAGTAGTTTTTGTGTACTAAGCTGTATAAGTTACTATAGTTTTTAAACTATCCCACGGAAACCCTTTAATTTTCCGGGAATAAAAGTATCTCAAATGTTGACCGGGGATATAAGGTACCACCATGCAAAATTTCATTTAAATCGGTCCAAGAGATTCGGAGATTAGCCCGTACAAACAGACAAACGGACAAACAGGCAAAGAAACAAAAAAACTGAAAAAAAAACTAGATTTGTTCTATTTCTCTTCTTACACCCCCCTGACTCGGTTTTAAGCATTTCTTTTCAGACATTCGACCTCTACAGTTTTATTATAGTATAGATAGAAGATAGATTATACAGGTACCTACGTTCATAATAAGTTAAGCTCTACCCATTCAGAAATTTACTCTTTCAATATTTACTAAAATTTTGCATTTATTACGGTTAGGATAGATTTCGCAGAGATGAGATATTTTCCCGTAGTAAAAAGTATCCTATATGTTGACCCGAATAACCAGCTAACATCATACCTCATCAAAATCTGTCCTGTGGTTTTCTCGTGATGCGTTCTCAGGCAGACAGACAAAAATTCTAAAAACTAAGGATTCGGCCTCTGTATCGATAATAATCACTATTTCAATAAGATATTCCAAAAAATATTCAATGTTCAGATTCGACTCGGTTAGAATTTTATTATATGTATAGATAGATTATGATACGCTTACAACTTTTATAGCATTATCAAAACGTGCCGCTTTATAAAAATACAAAATATCGACATATGCTGTCAATAAAAAATCGATAAAAATATTTTTATTGATATTTATTCTAGTCACGGAATGTTTCAATGTCTGCTAACTGCAAATCGTTCTCTTATGGCCACATGGACAGACCCACATGGACAGACCCGCATGTGAAAGTTAGCTTATGATATTATCAAAAAGACCTTCCTCCAGTCTCCACGCATCGATCGCGCAATTTGTCCGAGACCGATGCGACAGGACGCACTCTCGATAAGCCAACTCGTAATCTATCTATCTATATATATATATAAAAGAAAGTCGTGTTAGTTACACTATTTATAATTCAAGAACGGCTGAACTGATTTGGCTGAAACTTGGTGGGGAGGTAGCTTAGAACGAGGAGACGGACATAGGATACTTTTTAGCCCGTTCGACTGCGTTCCCGTATACAAGACTCAAGAACGGCTGGACCAATTTTTATGATATTTGAATTTTTGGATTTCTCTCATTCCGGAATAGGTTAATACCTAAGTATTAAAACGTCAGAAAAATTAACGAAAAAAATATATTTATATGGCTAATAACACTGGCTAATAACTATTTATATCTATTTAAAACGTACCTAGCGACGAACCCGAGCGAAGCGAGGGTGAGCCGCTAGTTAAATCATAAATTGATACACATAAATGGTCCTCACTTCGATTAAATTTCTAATCTCGATTGACATTAAGCTCTGATTCATCATTTTAACCGACTTTAAATTATAGTAATGTTGTTTTATTACGATATGTTTATGAGTATCTATGGAAAAGATATAGATTTCGCAATTTCTGAAATTATTAATATTCGACGACCTTAGCGTTCCTTAATTTATTTTCTTCCAACCCTTACTAAATGAACTGTCCCACTTATCACCTCTATTATTGCTATAAGCTTTGTGTTATCTGCCACTTAATCACAAATGCTTAAAGTTCAATAAAGAAATATCAGCAATAAACATAATATTTTGAGGTAAGACTTACAAATTTGTTTTCTTAACATTTATTTTTATTATAGGATATAATAGGTAACTTAGGTAGCGTCGCTTTTATCCTTTAACAAACTCGTGATTCGAACCCGCGATCTTTGGCATGATATCAGTTACTCTGATGTGTGCCTTTTGTTAATGCAATATATTGTGTCCTTTTTCTATTCTTTATTTTTATTTGAGAGTTTGAGTCATTATTTAAATCCAAAATAATAAAACTAAATATATATTATTCATGCATCAATTTCGCTTTGATGATAGTAATGCGACCAGTATAGACCAGGGTCGATAATTTTTAAAACCAAAAAAAATAATAGTAGGATGAAACCCATTAGAAAAGGAGGGGAATATTATAAAAATGAAAGAAAAAATAATTTACGGGCGATCTGAGGTCGGGAAGGGGATGGGGGTGAGTTTTTATAGGTAAAAAACGGTTTTTCTCGATTTCCGGCAAAACGAAAAGTCCAATCGAAAAAAGTCAAATGGCAAAGTTGTAGGTAATGAAAAGATCTGAAACTTTTGTATTTACACTTTTTTCACATAACCTCAAAATTTATGTGAAAAATTCAAAAAACCAAGTTTTTGGTTTTTTATTTTTATCTTTTACAAAAATAATTTTTTTTAACGAAATTTGGTGAAAACTTACCTTTTTATGTCCCAAATACGCTGTAATTTATTTGATTAAAAATATTTATTTTTTCACCTTATTTTGAATTAATATCGAAAAAGCACCCTAATTTTCAATCGAAAATTCACCCGTCAAAATATCAGCTTTTTTCAAAAAGTTGGTATGTTTTCTGTTCGTTGAAATCTCTACTTTCCGATAGTGAAAAAAAATATATGTTACTATAGTAAATCTTCTGAGAAAATGCAAAAAACAAAAAACCTTTTTTATTCCATACACTTGCTTATCATCTGCCTTATTGCAGATGATACAAACAGATTCATCCATACTGATAATCTGAAAAGACAAAATCGCCCGTAAATTATTTTTCCTTTCATTTTTATAATATTCCCCTTCTTTTCTAATGGGTTGTATCCTACTATTATTTTTTTTTCACTTTTTATTATTTTTAAAGGCTTCTACCCTGGTCTAGTATGCTTTTACACATATCTATACCGACATTATAGGTTATAATTTAATTAAAATAAAACCTTCTTTTAACATCTAATGACTGATCCAACAGTAATATACGACGGTTGTGGGACCACTTATTTTTCTTTTATTTATTTTTATGTACATGTTATGTTTCTATAGTTTTGCATAATAATGTAAAAAAATATTATTTTATACAAAACTAAATATTTCACTTAATCTGGTACCGCTTTAAAGTTTTTGTTATCTTTAATTAGAAAATTCCATCGAACACCTTTGATGGCTGTCATTAACTCGATCTAAACTTTAAAAAGGTCAGGTATTTTATAATTAAATAATACAAAAATAACGGTAGATAGTATCGACAGCATAAAACCATGTCGAAGTATATTTAATGCGTTAAAACGCGAGTATATACACATTGTAAAGCAACAAAGCGCTTAGAACATCATTAGTTCCGGTTTCCGCTGACCACTTCCTGTAGAAATGGGGGACAGTTAATTGTGAAAACTGTACAAACCTCCACACAAGTTATTACTGGGATAGTTTTATTATTTGCTAACTGTTACTGGCATCATTAACAGTTTATATAATAAATATTGTAGCTGTTATGTACATATATATGTTATTGTTATATTTGCTACTGCTTTGCTAAAACAAAAACAAGTCTATCCCACGGGAACCGTACATTTTTCCGGGATAAAAAGTAGCCTATGTATTATTCTGATGAGCTATATTATTGTAAAGTTTCATTAAAGTCCATTCAGTGGTTTTTGCGTGAAAGAGTAACAAACATCCATACATCCTCACAAACTTTCGCATTTATAATATTAAATACAGATAATGAGGAAAAGCAAAATATAGAGTCACTGTGATTTGCCTATATGTATGTCTCGTAAAAGATTATATTTGTATTCATAAGATATACTTATTACATTACTTTCATCATAAGCTGTATTGGAGTTATAAGAGAATTTGTACACTTTATAATTGGCAACAAATGAACCCACGACCTCAGTCACATATAGCAGGGCAACACAGCGCATCCGCGCATATAGATCTTATATGACATATGTAAATTAAACAACTTATTTCTTTATTTGCATTATTGAAAGTTATCGATAAAAAAACATTAAGTGAAATTGGTTGCAAATGCGAAATGAAATCGCTTCACTTAAATCTGTCATTAGCATGTACCGTTTGCTTGTCCAGTGCACGGGTAATAGCCACTGTGGACACACCGGTGGCAGTGAACGGTTATGTTATAAATTATATACAAATGTTTTATTTGAATCTTATCTTAAGTAAATCAAGTTATATTGTAAGAAAATCAGTTTTAAGAAAGCAGTCAGTCTTAGAGCTTTAAAGCCAGCGTCATACTAAAGAGTAAAGTTCTCATAAAAAATTGTAATATAGAGTTCTCTGAAGCTGTAACAAATTAAGAATTCTTGCAGCAATGTTGAGTACAACTCGTGTAAGTGACATTCTTTGTAAATAATAATGGTGTAGTGCTTCTCTATATTTACATAGGAATACTATATGATTATTATTTATTATACAAGTTAATTTGTTTGCTAAAAATATTTGCATATTTAATAGACCCATTTAGCCACGCTCATATTTATTGTACATTATGCTCATATTTATTAATTACATTGCAGCTTTATAGGGTTATCAACATTGGTACACCTTTTTGATTCTTTTTCACATCTTTTTTATTCATAATTTGTGCTGAAAATTTATTTTTCAAGATTTTATTTTGTCGCTATTACAGCCAATATAGATATTTATTCCAAGAATCGAACCCGTCACTTCTAACCTAGCAAACTAACTAAATAGTGAAGTAAATAAAGAAACATTATTTTTATAAACAAATTATTTACTAATTGAGACAGCCGTCTCGATGTTTTTCTTAGGTATGTAGCCCTATGTAAACTATGTCAGAGATTAAATATTCTGTAATAAATTACATATTGTAGTTGGACGAGTGCAGTGACTACGAGCAGCGGCGCCGACTGCGCGCGCGCATCCGCACACTCATGGCTGAACAAGAAGGTGAGAAGAGATTAAATAAAATATATCATGAAAGTTTCTAGAATGTAAGATTTTTATTACAACTTATCACATAAGTCAGCAAAATTCTAATCAACTATCACTTATCGAATTATAGGATATTTTTTTCGTATTTTTATTTTATTTTTATGCCCAAAAAAATTATAATAATAATTAATAACAACTAGTTTAGTTGATATAAAAATTACCAAAATTCCTATTTGTGTCATTTTCTGAACAGCATGCGCAAGTGCGGTGACTGAGGCGCTGGCAGCGGCCGGCGAGACGGTAGACACGGAGGAACAGTCCGGAGAACGCGGTGAGTCTCTTCTTCTGCCGCTGCTGCAGGGACTTCTACAAGGAGGAGGCCAGCGCCTGCTCGCCGGCCTCGGAGCCGCCTCGCACGATGTGGTCGCTGACGTAAGGCGCTCGCTGCAACGCCTGCGACTCGCACTTGCTCCCCCCAACGATCATCCCCAAGCCCGAGCCCTCCTTGCCCTTGCCGATAGGCTCGAGGACGCTTTAGATGCAGCAGACAGACTCGACGGATGCAAGAAAAAACCCAGACGGCGAAGTCGTACCTCCAGGCATACCGTTGGCGTGACGAGAGAAGAACTCGAAGAGGCTCGACGACTGGTAGATAGAGATCAATTATTACCCGATTCAGTAAAACAGGTCACGCCTTCTACTTCATCTTTTACTTCATCAGTACCCAGTACTGAGGACCCATCGACGCCAGAAAGAAAGCAAAGTGTAGATGAACAGGTCTGTTTTCATAATGCCATTGAATCGAAAGAAAAGGTCGCACCAATTGCTCATAATGCTAGCTATGATAAGATTCCGAAGATTAATAATGACGTTTGCGTCGTTGAAAGAAGGACAACCGCACCTCGGAAACCAGACTTTTTTAGACATTCTATTGCAGATACAACTCATTCTGAACATCCAAAAAGTGCAGCTGAACGCTGGCATTCGGAAACGAAAAACAGTATTGCAGCTATTGCCAATAAATTTGATGCAAAAGTACAAAAGGAAGCTCCGACGCCGGTCAGGCGAGCTCCAATTAATAGACCAACAGTAACAATACAAAATAAAGAAGAGGATGATTTACGCCGTTCGTCGTTTTATAGACCACCTCCGCCTGGTTATAACTTTGCAGCACCGCCACCGGCAGATGACCTGTCTAAACCCTTAAGTCGCTTTAATAACAATAAACGCAACCGTATGAAACGTGCAAATACTATAGATATTGGTCGCCCACTTGGCGGATATAAGATTGACAGCGACACAGAAGATGAGAATATGTCTAATTCCACCCCCAAAGTTCCAGAATTTCAACCACAAACGGAAAATGATAGAAAATTCTTGGCTTTCATGCAGAAAAATCAAGAAAATTATCGAAATGGTGTGGTTGGGCAAGCTAATTGGAACAATCGATTTGGTAACATAAAAAATACTTTCGAAAGGCGTGAGCGTGAAGAAAATAATAGATCTTCAAGTACTTCATCATCAGCTAAGCGTTTCTGGCAAAATACTAATGAGTCTTCTTACAATCCTGCACCACGACCAAGAAAGTTTTTGGCTGACATCACTCCAGAAATCGTTAAGCCTCCGTGGGTTTCTCAGCGTAGGGATTCTTTGCGATCGCAAGTGCCACAAGCTCCGCCACAAAAGCTACCACAAACTCAACAATCTGCCGAATTACAACCACCAAATAAACAAATCGTTAAACCTTTTGTTGCTAAGCCAATACCTGTCAATCAATTTTCACACGCACCGATGTCTGCATTTAAACCACCAAAGAAAATTTTATCCCCTACGTCTGTTTCACCAAATGTGTGGAGTCCACCATCTTCTAATATCCCCGTGTCACCCTCAATAGAAAACTCGATTGCCTTTTCAAGTGTATTAAATCCTCTTAGTCCCGCTTCAACTGCACCTTTTAAAGTTTTAGCATCCGAAGTTAATAAAACTAGAAAGTTACAGACTGTTTCTAAATTTGAAAACGATAAGATTGAAACACAAGCGATTTTAATACCCAAAACATACGGCTATCACCAGCCCACACCACCGACTCACGTACCTCAAAATTATCCAATTAAACCGATACCGAGTCAAAATAATTTAGCAGCACCAGAATTAGTTAAGAAGTTAGATGAATCAAAAATCCTTTTAAGTCCACAATCCTTACCCCCAAAAATAGACGCACAGCAGCTCCAAATTGAATTTTATGAGAGGCAAATCAGAGAGAAACATCGGCGCGAGGCTTCAAATGAACGTCGTGATATCCCTACCCATAAACCTCCTGCACCTCCAGCGCCTGTTTATACTATAGTTGATTACACTCCATCAAGCATAACTTCTTCTTTCGTGCCCCTTCAGCAGACGCCTGACATAGAAAAAGCAAAAGCTCACAAAGTTGATTATCTCCCAGATGTTGTAATGAACGAAACCAGTAACTATGACTATCTTACGTCTCCGACGTCGCGAATTTCTTCAGTTAGCCCGTCAAAGTCAAAAGTCCCTCAGGAATATCAAAATGGAGTGACACATAAAAACGACTTCGAGGACGGAACAACAACTGAGCACGACAGTGTGGTGACGCGAGTCATGCGCGGACCGGTGCGAGGTGCAGCCACCATTACTACTGGCGTACGAACGAGGGGTGCCGCCGACAACCTACGAGGCATGCTTGACAAATTCTCCTCTCCGAAGCACGAAGTTATCTCCCAAATCGAAAAGAAGAAGCGAGAGATAGCGCGAAATCAGGTACGGCTGCCTGCCCCGCCCTCCGCTCGCCCCGGCCTCTCTCCCCTGCACGCCCCCTCGCCACCCCGCCCGGCCCACGCGCCCGAGCACGAAGGACTGCCTCGCTCCCCGGCTGGCCTCCGGAGCCCCGCGCTTGCAACATCGCGTGAATCAGTTATATCTAGCGAATCGCTTGGAAGTCGCGGGTCTAGCCCAGGCTCCGCCTTAGCTCGTTCAGGGTCCTGGCATCGACTCAGTGAGTTCTCTCCTAAGGCATCTTCGCCAAGAAAAGTTGTCTCTCGCACTAAGTCCATGCACATACTGGCGATACCGAAATTGTACGAAGGCGGGATAGCTCACGAGGAGCTCCCAGAAAAGAAGCGCACAGTGGAGGCCTACTTCACGGGGCAGGCGTCGCCGGGTCGCGTGACAGGTGGCGCCGTAGTCGGCCGGGTCACGCGTGCGGCCGGTGTGCGAGTCGCGCCGCCGCCACAGTACGCGCTGGGGCGGAGCCGCACGATGCCAACGGTGTCGGAGCTGCAGTTCCTAGACGAGAGCAACGCGGACGACGCATTCGAGGACCTCGTGTCGGCGCTCGCGTAGCGCACACATTCCACTAGATAGGAGAGGGAGACTAGCGAGACGCGCGTGAGTCGTGTGTGTGTGGGCTGCCTGCCGCTTGTGTCGCGTCGCATGTCCCCCACCCCCATACTGCCCCTCGCTCCGCTGGCCCTCGCCCCCGCGGTTCATCCTCACGTCGTTGTACATATTGTAACATACGTATATTCATTTCACCGATCCCCGTAACAGTGTTATTTTGACTAATAGCTTTTAAGAATTATTTGTATTGTCTGGCTGTTGTTTTCAAGTGTTAATTTTAGTGTTATGTATGAGAACGTCAGAGAGTGTATATTTATAGTTGCGTTTCATTTACAGAAGAGGAAGTAACGACTGTAACATCGAACGTGAGGAGGAACTCTTCCGAGAAAACCGTTAGCAGTAGCACTACCACTATTAAAAGTTCAAAAGGTTAGATTTTATTTATGTTAAACGTTTACACACAATTTACTTTATAGCAAATTAGAAATGTTATGTAGGTACTAACAATGTTTACATTTAAACAGTGATTGAGAGCATGACCCGGCCGGCACCGAAGCCCGTGTCGCCATTTGCCAAGTTCCGTCAGCTCGAAAAGCAAAATTCTACTAACAGTCCTAAGTGAGTACACTATATAATTTTAAATATAAGTAAATACGACAAAGCATCGCCCGAAATACAAACACAACTTTCAAAATGTACCGTAAACAATTATAATAAAACTATTGGCTGCATATATTCTTCCATATCTCAATAAGTCAATACGTAATATTTATACATAGGTAATATATTTTGCTTGATAATTTATTTAATGCAACGTATTTATTTATTTTGGCAGCATCAGTGGATTCGAATAAGTAGGTAAAATCAAATATTTCAATAGATGATACTCATAACATGTATATTAGTCGCTTTATTATAAAGTTAGAGGCATCATAGCATCGCTTCCTAAGAACCTACGGGGCGGGTCGCGTCGTATCCGCTCCGTACGTCCTTAAATCTCATAAGGCATTATAGATCCACATTCATACAAGCCGACACCGTCGCTTCGACAATCTCTGAAGCACGTGACATTAATACGATGTAAATAACAGTGCGTACAATAACAGCACACATATTGTGAGAGCGCACCGAAGCTAATGACGCGTTACGACGCCGCGACACTAACCGAGCGCCATGACTATGCGCGGGCTGGTCGCCCATCCGTGCAGCGACGAGCAGCGCTGCGGCTGCGACTGCCGCGGTAGAGACATAGAGCTGATGCTGCACAGCTCTGGCTCTACTGCGGCAGAGGCGGAGCGCTCGCTGCGCGTGGCTGCAGCGGGCGGCTAGCCTAACTAGAGCCCCGGTTGTAGCTCGCCCAAGAGCCCGCAGAGCCCGGGCTCTCCGTCGCAGCCTTACTTCAAGTTCACGGACCCCGCGCTGCAAGCCAGCGCCGTCACTATAAAAGAGCGCTTGCTGCAGTGGTGTCGCGACAAGACCCGGAGTTACGAGGTACACGCCACACTCCCCGCTGCCGCCCCGCCCCCGTGACGTCCCCGTGACACCCCCGCGACGCCCTGCTGTGGCACACTAGTGGACACTTTACCTTATTGCACTTAAATTTAACTGCAAATTATCTAACACTCAGGGAAAAGACTAATCATATCGCTAAAATACTAAGTAAATAATAAAAACATTTAATATTAATAATAATTAGACTTTAAAATATCACTTTTTTATGCCGGTTACAATATATTACATTATACCACTTGCATTATAAAGTATACCGAGCGACGTATCGGGGTTGTCACTTTACGGACTCAATGGGCCGATGCACATACATGTCCATATCAGTAATTGTAAATTTTAATTAATTCTCAGTAATTTTAGTAGAAAGTAGTGTAAAAAGCGGTAACAATGTGCCTCGGCTTATAAGGGAGCGCGCGGATGTACCGGACAGGCCGCCGATGTCGACACTGTAGCATGACCGCGCACGCGCACACACGACATGATCCAATGTATCGAGCCACTTTCAGCCCAGTCTCTGTCCATTAAACTTTTTATAAGAAAGAAATCAGCTAATTTATGAATAATAATAATAATAATGAATTAAATACTTCTATTATGACCTACCAAAACGAGACTGGACCGCAAGCGGACCGACACCGGTTCGATTGTGTGGGTCTGGCTTAACGTCACATCGCTACTCATACACTTCACGCTTATTTGACGCTTTGTATCGCCACTGTATATATATTGCTCGTATATTATACTATGTATGTTATATTATATGTATTTATGACCAAATTGTATCACTTTGGTCCAACGCCATAACGGAACTAAAGCATTATTAAAACTTCCACATGAAAACGTAATATTTAATTAAACACAAAAGAGTGATGTGATTTCTAAAATAATAAAATGGACTAACATTGTAATGAACTCACCAAAGGTTTGGTGAACAACAAGGTGTACATTTTCTGGGTTCAAATTTTGTTACGTGCATGTGAGTGTCTTACACAATAATAGGGATGACGTGTCACGTAAGATCCATATATTATGTAATTAATAATTATGTAAAATGTTTGTTTGTATCCTTCCTGTACAATGAAATAACTCAAAATAGTACTACTTGTGGTAGAAATAGTCGAGATGACTTTGGATAAACATTTGCCTGTAACATTTGTGTATATAGTTGTCTTCACTAGTTCTTACATGAATCTATAGAAACTGGAGCTCATCGCTGTTAAAAAACTGTTAATTCAATATTATACCACGAAAATATCAAATAATTGATAAACGAAGCCATTTTTTAAAAGCCATTTTAAATGCTAATGAAGCCATTTATGATGTAAATAAATCTTACAATTGTATGATGTACCTAAGCTCTTTGCTGTAAAATGTCCTACCGCAGCTAATTTTCACAGTTAAAGAAAACTAAATTTCAGTTTTTATTACAGTTTTAGCCAAAACTGAAAAAAAGTTCGCTTTTAAGGCAATTCTTTTATATATTTTTAAGTTTCTATTCATCAGATAATAGCAAATATGTGTTTGTGTCCTTAGAGGCCGTTTTTTAATAAATTATTTAATTGTTATATTTAAATATCTATTCCATATATATGTGACTCATCACATAATTACAGCACATTAAGTATAAGAAACTCAGTTAAATAAACGTTCCGCTACGCCTCGCTCTCCCGAAGGTCTTACGACAGCACACAACCTAGTTTTGAAGACCAAACATGGCGAAGAAACTTCGAAATAACTAATTTAGAACAAAAACTTGCTAAAAGCGAAATCGAAAGTTTGGCCAGATACTTATTCTGTAAGAACATTTATGTAACTCGGCGTCTAAATTCGTAAACATCGTTTTCCATACAACTTACTTGAAGTGAGTTCGCATAAACAACTGTCGAGTTACTAAAAGTTCTTATAGAATTGTACAACTTGAATAGATTGAAGAAAATTTCTATGAAACTTTTGTTAAATTTATCTCTGTAGTAGATACTACTTTTACCGTATCTTAATAGTCAAAACAAAAACAAACCCACAACTTATTAAAATACGTTAGGTATCCCTATAAAATGTGGATTTTGCACTTGCACAGAACCAAATTACCCACATTCCACGGTCCTTTCAGAAATACTTCGTGTTCTCCATATTCAATGTGAATTAAAATAATCATCCAGCTGTTGTCTTAACTCCTGAATACTTGTAGAATGTGAAGCTGGAGAACTTCTCGACGAGCTGGGCGGACGGGCTGGCGTTCTGCGCGCTGCTGCACCACTTCCTGCCGGATGCGTTCGACTACTCCAAGCTGTCGCCGGAGAAACGCCGGCACAACTTCACGCTCGCCTTCAAAGTTGCTGAGTGAGTTTGTATTTCTTTTTATAAATCACTTCAAATATACCCTAAATATACCCTTGAGGTTACACGTTTGGCTCAGTTTGTAGTGACCTTAATTGCTGTGCCAACGGTCGCGGGTTCGAGTTCCGCTAGGGGCATTCATTTGTGTGATGAGCACTTTACACACAGTTTATATTTATAATGTATATATTTAAAGTTATATATGTGTAGTGTATCAAGTATGTATCTGGTATCCATAACACAAGCCTCGTAGCTTACCATAGAACTAGATGGTGCTGTGTGTTAATGCTCCAAAATCTTTGACATATTTAACTTGTTCTTTAAAAAAGTCATGAATATCGGTTCAGTCGATGTACACCAAGCACGAGTGACCTAGATTAGCGAGCCCTCTGCCTCGTAAGTAAACTGTAGTCATGTAGCTACTGTTTACTTTTCTACACCTTAAATAAATCAATAGCAGTTGTACAATTTTGGTTATTATATATTAGTTTCTTCTTTCCTTTTTTCGTTTCTTCATTAAAAGAATTATTTGTCAATAATTGCTTTTCCACTATGCTCTTAGGTATTTGAATAGCTAACGTATGTGTTGCAGTGAGAAGGCGGGCATCTACCCTCTCCTGGACGTGGACGACATGGTGGCGATGCGCAAGCCCGACTGGAAGTGCGTGTTCACGTACGTGCAGTCCATATACCGCCGCTTCAAAGACGAGCAATGACCGCCTTCACGCATCGCCAGCACGCTCTAACACGCCAACCTCTTAAATACCATATAAATACTACAAATTCCTCATTTTTTATGAAATCTTTTAATATTGAATTTTTATGGTAATTAAACGGTTGATGATACCAATTGTAATGTACCTCGTGTCTCGGTACTATTTGTTTCATTGTATAAGTTTTGGTGTCAGCGCGTTGTCCGTCGGAGCGTAGAGTAGTTGAACGTTAAGTCACAAATTATATTGAAATGTGAGTCCAAAGAGCGTATGTTGTTATTTGTTATGTTTGTCTGTCTGTCCGTCAGTCCCCGCCAGCTCGCCGTTGCTCCAAGCGCTGTCTCGATACAGTCCTCCTATTTATTATCTCAAGATGTATGTGATTTTTATATTAGCATGTAAGTACTAATGTTTTGAGCGACATTTTATTTAGGTCATAGTCTTATAAATCGCTGTAGATAACGATCGTCGCGGGATCTGTTTCACTTATTTGCGAACATAAGCAAGCTGTATCCCCGCGCCCACGCACGCTACACTACTCTAACTATGTTCTATTTACTGTTACAAATCATATAACTGCTTCATAATCGCCTACTGATTTTATAAATGACTATAATTTTAATTTATATGATGAATTATTAATTTATATGATAAAATAAATTTGATTAACATTTTAATGCGTGTTTTATTTCATATTAGTCGTGGTTATTACATAAGTGATAAATTAAATACAAAAGCAGTTGAGCCTTAACTGATCGAGGGTCCCCTAAAGTGACGTAACGTCACTACAGAAAACAACACCAATATGAAGGCACTGCTCGATACCACCGCATATAAAAATATTTGTGACATATTCTTCAAAATGTCAGATCTTAATATATCTTCAAATACTTATAATCTTAATATATCTGCATACAAACTTAAAGAAAGTATAATAAAAAGGCAGTGTCAAAGGTTATATTGGAGCTGTCCCAATTCCTTAAGGATCTGGTAGGGTATAGGGTAAAGCGACCATGAAAGGGTCGGCGATATTGGTGGCGCGGTCGCTGGTGCGCGGCTCGCCCACCACCGTAGCCAGCGAGGGCAGGGAGCGCAGCGAGGGCAGGGAGCGTAGCGATGGCGTGGCGTCACCCAGCGCCACGCGCACGTGCAGCGTGCTGTCGCGCCATGCGCGCCACGACATCTGGTGCTCCTGGATCTTAAGCAGCATCCACGTCGTCAACAGGCCATTCAGTGCGCCTTGGGGAGGAATGCTTGTTAGTTACTAGTTTTCAGCAAACACGTTGTATCCTTGGTACTAGGACTGCGACTGCTATAAGGAATCAATCCCACAAATTGATCAATAATGTTAATAATGTTACTACTAACTGACTAACATAAATTTTTGTGTTCCAAAACTTGCTATCAATAGCTAGGAAAAGCTTAATAACTAAGCCATTAAAAATTTAAATAGGCAAATAATATTAATGAAAACGTTCCAAAATTGATCCACCTCTCTTTTTCGAAATATACCTAATGTTATAATTTTTGTTAAGATTAATCCAATAAAAAAAAGTGAGCAATAAAGTGCTCACCTATTGTAACACCAGAAACAAAATAAAAACAGCGACCCTAACCTATTATCCCAATAAGCAGCGACGAGAATAGGTTGGCCGCGAGCGCTACGCCGCCGCCGCGGCGCGCGCCCGCCTGCAGCGCGGCATCGCAGGCGTGCAGCGCGCGCGCCGTGCCCAGCACGGAGGCCGCGCCCAGCGCCGCGCCGCGCCACGCGTCGGCCGCCAGCGCGCGCCCCCGCCCTGACCGCGCCCACTCCACCAGCGACCGCGCCCACGACCATCTGCACAATCATAATAAAAATTCACAATAATCATATCCTGACCGATTGAACCACCGTGGCTAAGATTGGCAGCAATCTCACTGAGACAAGCGAACTACGCAGGAGATATTTGCACAAAGTGCACTCTCTGCTCCTTTCAGTCTTAAAGTCCGATGTAGTAACCGATACTTTGATAGACCGATAATGAGAATTTCTTTATAAGAAAAACTCAAAAGTAATTCGGCCTAAACCGGAACTAGAACCCAGGATCCACAGCCGGCACGTATGCACGTAACGATATAAATGACGTAATAGCATAGGCATTATAAGTAATGATAATTCAGCACTTTATGACGTTCCACTGCTGGGCACCCGGGGCATTAACTTTCACCTGATTGTTTGTACGTGATAATTTCCGATTTTAACGAGACCTTTTTTGTTAAGCAGTGACGAGGAAGATAATTTAAAGTTTTAAAAAATTTAACATCTGAAACAAAATAAACTTGTAATTTATAGACAATTTAATGGATACATTCCGCCAAGATATTCATATTCATTGTTAAAAGCAATAAATAAAAGCTCTATCGTAAATACTAAGCTATTATTTCCCTAAGAAGTAAGAAACCATAGTTGAGAGACGGGTTTAGATTGATGAACCAACAAAGGGGCTACATAATACATATTATGTATCGCGGTTTATTTTCCCTAATTATTAAAAATAATGCTAAACCAAAAAACTAATAAAAATTCACAAAGAAAAATATGTTAAAAATAAACAAAAGATTTGCTTTGGCCAATGTCCATTACGAGGCTATTGAACCAAACTGTATGTAATAAGATCTCAATTGATGGAACGCGTTTGCATCAATCTAGCATCGGATAATAAATTGTAATGATACATATTGTCCTCTTAGCAACCACAAAAAAGCTGCTTGCTATTTATGAATTTAAATTACGAGTATAATACTAGTTCCTGCTCGCATTTAATTAACCTCTACAATCTTTGTATATATTCGATGTAGAATACATTTTTAGTAACATGTAGCTTTGTTTTAAAAGTAACTTTTGAAAACAAAAATAAACCTATCCCACGGGAACCGTACAATTTTTCGGGATAAAAAGGAGCGTGGAGAATGTGTTATTTCAGACTATAATCTATCTCTGTGCCAAATTGCATCCAGATTCGTTTTAGCCGTTCTGGCGTGAAAGAATAACAAACATCCATACTCACAAACTTTCACATTTATAATATTAGTATAGATATAGATTTTGAATATTTCAAGTTTTTTTTAAATACGACGGCAAATAAATAAAGTGCTCACTGCACATTCCTAAAATTCTATTTTACCTTGAGTCCTCAAGCCAGAACCGACATGGGGTCGTTATTTAACCATTATATAACTAACTTGTGACTTCTGGTAACGACGTAGTGATGTCTGCAGAGCTCGCAATATGAAGTTGCAGCTTGTAACAACCAGCGCTCGAGACACGTGCGGTGCACCGCAGCGATGGTGCCGCGGCAGGAGCACGGCCGCACTAACCGCTCGGCCGACTCCCCGCCAAAGCAAATACGGCAAATATTGTCCGAGTGATGGCTACCCGTTAAATTCGATGTTTCCTTTTCACCGGGTCCCTAAAAATTATAAAATTTGACTTTCTGGTCCTTCGAAATAAATATTCGCGTTCATGGTTATGTCCTTTATAATGAACAAACCTGCTTCTTTAGCAACAAAGCGCAAACAGAACCTAGAATTGACATAGAACGTCGGGTTGGATGAAGCAAGGAAGACGCAGGAGATGAAACAATTAAAGAATCAGCAATACGTGCTCGCAATAGACGTTGTTCTTCACTCTCGGTCAGGTTTACTGAAAAATATATACATTTCATATAATCCAATTATTATTTTACACTAAATTATTATACAAATAATAATAATATAAATAATGTAACTTGGTGATCCAATCCCCGAAGAATAACGACAACTTATATCAGTCTGCTGTGCTATAGAACGCAGTTCCCTGTCTCGCAAGTTCAAATTTTGATTTTGCTGTAATTACAAAATAAACATTATAAAAAAAACGCGTAATATGTTTTCAGAAAATATCATACAATATTTTAATAACTAACAGGCATGTGGAGCGAAGAACAACTAGAAGCAGACATGCTTATTGTCACTCTACTGTCTGACGTCCTCGAACCCCAAAATATCAGTAACGTTTGCCCTTCGGCTACATTACATTCCTAAAACCACACTTAGTTTAAATAGACTCCGTGAACCTCATTAACAACATTGTAAGAATGCTAATTATCCACAAATGTACCCGAATTAAATTAGAAAAACTACAAGTTCTGTGGTATTTAAAATTTATTCTTTGTAAAGCTTCTTGGATGTTTGGTCTTAAAATTACAGGTGCCAAGACAGCCCGTCTTATCTTTTGCACCGTATCCCTGGGAAAAGTTTGTACTTCATGAAACTCTATCAAACGATTTAGGTCCGCAATTTTATGCATTTTATAACTGCGCCGGAGACATATTGTCTAAATTATAATGATTAAATACTCCACGATTAATATGAAAATAATTGCAAGATTTATTGAATAAATGAAACAGTAATTAATACATTTTTGTCAATTTTGAAGTACGTTATATAAGAAAAAGATTAGGTTTTATAACATGTTACATATATATTTTAAAACTAGCATTGCCCGCGGCTCCGCCCGCGTTCAGATGACCAAAAACCAAATTCTTAGGTTTTACATATTTCATATTAGTATATCTTACAATGCAGTTTTTGTATTTTTTCTCAGAAATGAGATATTTTCCCGCGGTAAAAAGTATCCTATATGTTGACCCGGATAACTAGCTATCACCATACTAAATTTCATCAAAATCCCTACAGTGGTTTTTCTGTGATGTGGTAACAGACAGACAGACAGATACAGACAAAACATCTAAAAACTATAGATTCGGGCTATGTATCGATAATAATGTTTATTTCAATAAGATTTTAAAATAATATTTAATGTACAGATTCGGCTTAGTTACAATTTTATTATATGTATAGATTTAATCTATATATTTAGGGCGTTCAGAAAAAGACACAATAATACTATAATTTATATTTTATTTATATTTTGCAATGATTTACGTGTTATATTGAACGCAAATAATTGCGCAACATTATGGAATAGCGTTTGACAAAAAAAACGTTATTTCATTATCTACTCTGTGTCGAGTTCTTGCTTTTTGTTTTTGGCAACTGTCAGAGTCTGACAAAAGCATTGATCAAGCGAGGTGTTTTCCCTCTCCACGTGAAGACGAAAATAATTTTTGAAACATTTTGGAAGTACACAATACTGTAAAATAAAATAAAAATCATGGCGGTCCGAGTACAATTTGAAAATAATAATGAAGTTGGAGTGTTCAGTAAACTTACAAATTCATACTGCCTTGTCGCAATCGGCGGGTCGGAGAACTTCTATAGTGTGTTTGAGGCGGAACTGGCAGAAACGATACCAGTAGTGCACATAAGTATTGCTGGCTGCAGAATTATCGGCAGAATGACAGTCGCTAACAAAAATGGTCTTTTGGTTCCGTCTTCCACTACAGACACAGAGTTACAACATATAAGAAACAGTGTACCTGATAACGTCAAAGTACAGAGAGTAGAGGAGCGTTTAAGTGCTCTTGGTAACGTTATAGCTTGTAACGATTATGTCGCATTAGTACATCCAGATCTTGACAAAGATACTGAAGAAATTCTTGCTGATACATTGAATGTAGAAGTGTTCAGGCAAACAGTGGCCGGCAATGTCTTGGTGGGATCTTACACAGCACTCACTAACCGTGGAGGACTTGTGCATCCAAAAACAACTATACAAGATCAAGATGAATTATCATCTCTGTTACAAGTACCATTAGTAGCAGGAACAGTTAACAGGGGCAGTGAGGTTGTTGCTGCAGGGTTGGTAGTTAATGATTGGAGTGCCTTCTGTGGCATGGATACCACTTCAACAGAAATATCAGTAATTGAAAGTGTGTTCAGGCTTAATGATGGTCAAGGCCACCAACCATCAGCCATATCAACAACAATGAGAGCATCCCTTATCGACAGCATGTCATAACCGGAGAGTTATTTTTATAAGTTTTTTTAGAGTTTAACATCTATGTGATTTTACATTTAAAGTGACACATGGGTATTATTATATAAAATAAATTTCCTGTTGACCAGATACTACCAAACCTTGACCTATGTAATCTAAATACATAAGTTAATAAATGAAAATAATATTTCATTATCTTTTTCATTTTATAAATTAGTCCATGCTTTTCTTTGAGATTTAAAAAAAATTATATTGGTAATTCAATTTATCTATTACACAACAATATTCAATTTCAAAAACCTCATTTTGTATCGTTTTTAATTTATTATGGATATACTATATGAACATGATTATAATTACAAGTAAGCAACAATCTTTGTTTCATAATTAAAATGGTTAAATAAAATTAAATACATATTACAATTTGGGTAATAATGAAACCAGAAAACCTTTTCTTATAATATGCTTTATTTGTAAATAATAATTAGATCAAACACTCCATCCTATCTACATTGACACAATATTCCCTCAGAAGCCACAATCTCACAACAAAAATAGGAACTAAATTAAAATAAATGAAAACACATAATTATTAAATTAGAGGATCAGTCAATGAAGAAAATAGATATATTTTGTACTGTATAATTTTATACTTACATAATATTTATTATATTTTATTGCAATATTTATTACTCAACATTAGATAAGCTTCAAAAGCGCTGGTAAGAGGTCTTTGACTTGTCAAACATTTTAATAATACTTTCTTAGATTTACGCGAATATTTGACATTTTAAATAAAACTATCTTTTCGGATTTTGTCGCGGATTTATTTGCATTTTTGTTTCCCGACGTTTCGAATGCTTTACAGCATCCATGGTCACGGGAGAGACAGGTGTTACATGTCTTAAAGATATAGTTGTTACAGACAGCCTACCCACAATTAACAAAATGAAAATTGCACCAATTACATTACAATATTTTAACTTTAAATATTTTTATAATTTTAATTATAATTGAATATGGAAAATTATTTATTTAATTTTTGCTATTATTTTTATAATTATTACAATTTTAAAAATATTAATTAGCAATCTATATTTAGTGTTGCCATTATTATATTTATAACCATAAGAAAAATATAAAATATAGTATTAATTATTTAAGCCACAATTGATCTATGTGTAATTTGAAAAAGTTAAGATTAATTAAAAAATAATAATTTTAATTTAAATTTGCTATTATTTAAAAAACAAATTATTAAGCAACACATTACTACATACATTTACAAATGAAAAAGTGAAAAAATATTATTAATCAGAAATGCTATCATTTTGATCTACACAGTAAGAACTTACTACATCTACCTGTCTGTTATGTTTAGATTTATTATTAGATTTTATTATATTAATAACAGGATCCCATGACGATGGTAGTACCCAGCCATCTTCCCTATTGAAATTAGGATGTTTTTTAATAAGCCATAGAAATTAAAAAACATCCTAATTTCAATAGGGAAGATGGCTGGGTACTACCATCGTCATGGGATCCTGTTATTAATATAATAAAATCTAATAATAAATCTAAACATAACAGACAGGTAGATGTAGTAAGTTCTTACTGTGTAGATCAAAATGATAGCATTTCTGATTAATAATATTTTTTCACTTTTTCATTTGTAAATGTATGTAGTAATGTGTTGCTTAATAATTTGTTTTTTAAATAATAGCAAATTTAAATTAAAATTATTATTTTTTAATTAATCTTAACTTTTTCAAATTACACATAGATCAATTGTGGCTTAAATAATTAATACTATATTTTATATTTTTCTTATGGTTATAAATATAATAATGGCAACACTAAATATAGATTGCTAATTAATATTTTTAAAATTGTAATAATTATAAAAATAATAGCAAAAATTAAATAAATAATTTTCCATATTCAATTATAATTAAAATTATAAAAATATTTAAAGTTAAAATATTGTAATGTAATTGGTGCAATTTTCATTTTGTTAATTGTGGGTAGGCTGTCTGTAACAACTATATCTTTAAGACATGTAACACCTGTCTCTCCCGTGACCATGGATGCTGTAAAGCATTCGAAACGTCGGGAAACAAAAATACAAATAAATCCGCGACAAAATCCGAAAAGATAGTTTTATTTAAAACATTTTAAGTTTAAAAGAATTTACTTATATTAAAATATCAAAGTGTTCTCTCAATAACATTGCCTTTAATTTACCGAAAACTAAAATCATTTCTTTATTTTTATATAATGTTGAGCCAAGTTATCTGTTTATATAAATATTTAAATTATTTATCATTGTAATAAATATAATAAAAATTGCAATTTATATTATTACACAGTATGTGGTAACTAAATCAACTGTTAATCAAAAAGGTCACAAGCATAATATTTGTTGTGATAAAACAACATATCCAAAACAATACCAGTGTGTAGATAAAATACATATTAAATAAATAATGTATTCTATTTTAAATTCACTCATTTATATACAAAATTACTACAAATTACAAAAGTAACAAAGAAAAAACTAATTCAATTTCTGGCAGTTGTAATAACATTTTATAATATGCATTAAATTATCATAGAAAGTATACATTAATTCAGTAACTATTTAAAATGCTTTACAAAATATAAATTTAAACATCTGACCAAATACAGTTACTTCCATGTCTTCTTTTAGCAGAATATATATGTAGCATTTATGGTAATAAATGCTGTATAAAAATCTCGTACATTAAAAATCTTTTAAAATAATGATATATTTCAAATTATACATTTTTTTAATAAGTACATATTAAAAAAAAAAAAAAACATACAGTCGAATTGAGAACCTCCTCCTTTTTGAAGTTGGTTGAAAAGGGCTAAATAATTAATTGCTAAATATAAAAATAATAAATTAAAACTTATACAAAAACATTAAAATTATACAAAGCAATGTATATTTCTATAATAATCTTGAAAGAACAATATTTAGTTACCATTGATGTAGCATGTGTTTTGAAGACATTTTACCTATTTATTTTTTATTAAAAAAATATTATATAACTTTAACAAATAAGATCTATTTTTTTAATAACACTTAAAACCAAAATCAAACTCATTACTACTTACGGTTTGAACGAATCTATAACTTCCATGCTATTAGTAGAATATGATTGTGGTATAAATATCATAGCTCGTACTGAGATAACTAAATTTTAATATATGTATGTTCATATTGGTTATTGCCCAACTTACGTGAAGGTTTATTAAGACATTATTCTATTTACAATATAATACTCACAAATTCTTTAAATAACATCATTAATCGAGACATTAAAAGTGATGTTCAATTACATTAGAAAAAAATATTTGCAATACCCGTAATTTCAAAGACAAATGATCTTTCTAAAAAAAAAGGACTCATTGAACTTAATGTATTATTAAATTCGAGTTTTTTTATTTCAATTTTTCCAACGCATTTAGTACAAAAACTACACTTTTACTATACCATTTAAATCCCAAAAACATTTGAAAGAGCCTCAAAAAATTCATTGTTCCTTGAGTAAAATACTTTTAAAAAGACTAATTATTCTGTATTTTGACAACTATTAAAACCTAATGGTGTGGACCAAGTCTACATAAATTTCGAAGTGCAGTTTTTTTATATATTGATTTTTACAATAAACTATCAAACAAAAACAATATTCATGTACAAAACGCCTCCAATACATATGTACTTCACATAACTTTTAACACATTTATATGGGTTTAACATCTTTTCCATTCATATTAAAATTAGATTCTATCATTAATTCGACAAAAAGATATAATCTAAATATAATTAAGCCTCATTACAATGTTTCAAATTAAAAAAATATAAACAAAATGGTTGAATAAAAAATGTGTTTTTATTAGCCTATGTTTGACATTTTGACCTATATATAAGGAAATTGGAGAGTGATGACAAAGTTGTAGGGATCTTCAATGAAGACACTTCGCCTGATTTATTTTAATAGCAATTATTTGAATTTTCAGATTCACTCGATTACAAGAAAGTGTAAAGAGAAATAAAAAAAAATTAAATCCATCCATCTATGACCATAGACAACACAGGTCACGAAATTGACCATTATAGGGAACTAAACGTATGCGTAATCATTGTTTCTTTTGTAGGTCTTTAATGTATCTAGATGAGCTAGTTTATACATAATTTTGATTAGAAAATCGTACGTACGCCTAATATCACTCCATGACGTGACATTTAAACGAATCTAAGGCCTCAGTCATCTCTTTCATCATTTATGTCTGAGAAAAAATTTGGAATTTATACATTTAATATTGGAGGAGAAGATTCCCCAGCGGCAAGTTACAGAACTAACTTCGTCCGGTAAAGTCAGCATTTAGTATTTATTTAATCTATGTGTAATGTTTAGATCAAAATATCCTCACATTATAAAGTTATTTCTAAAAAAACTATTTCCTTTCTTTCTAAAAACAGCCAATAAGGAAATATAATCTTCACCAATAGAATGACCTGATTTACTTTGATCGTTCAAAATATGTTGAAAAAAGCGAATTCATTAAACGCAATAACCAACTTTGTTTTTCTTTTTATTTAATATTGATGTTCATAATGGCGCATGTAAAATATATGTGACTTGAGCAAGACCTAATTATTTCTAGTAATTACGTATGGAGTGTAGAAGTAAGGAGTACTATCTCTGTGTATGTAAGTGTCGTGATAACGCGTCAAATATGGGTGGCGCTGCAGTAGCATAGGGAAAAATTTAAAGCAAGCACCAATAGTAAGCAGAATGAGATAGAGAAATAAACAAGGACCGAATTGGACACTCCGTTTACAACAGCTAATTCATATTGTAGTTTTTCTCACGCTAGCGCCATCTATTTTCAGCATACAAGTGGACACTTTTTCAACTTGTCTCCCATATAAGTGACACCTCCTTACCTCTACCCTCCATATAATGACGGTATATCAAATACAGATTAAAGGGTGTAGCAGGATAAGTATTGTGAATCGGCCCCCAATGACAACTTCTTTTTAAATTCATGATAAAGTATCAACTCGATGTGTGTATGCAATTTATATGATTTTTTCTGCCGTATTCCACTTCAATCTAGAGATATGGTTGTATATATGATTATCCGTCAAACAGCCATATCTTAAAAAATAATTGAGCTAGAGAGATAAATCCAAAATGAGGTTGTAGGAAACGTTAAAGAGTATATTCAGTATTTTTTTTAGATTATTTAAATAATTACGAGCATTGATAATTTATAAATAAATATTTCATCTTTAATTTTTTTAGTGTTCTTGGTGATCTACAATCACCGAAAAAATATATGTTATAGTACTTGACAAGCACTACTTACTCATTAAAATTATATTGAAAAAAAGTTGGTGCAAAATTTAGTAAAAAAAAAATTCGCTGGGCAGGTCATCATACAAGTCATGATTATGGCACAAGTCATACGTTATTTGATCGATTGAGGTTATTGTTAAAGGAAATAAAAGGATATTCGCAATAAGACAATAACTTCTATTAATAAATGATAACAATTACTTTTTAAGTAGGTTAAATGTACGAAACAACGAGTAACGTAGTGACAAGTCTGAACTTGATCGTCTATTGAATGCGCCGTATACTTTTTTTTAACGCCACGCAGAGACTGCGTGGACTTGCGTATATGAAATAATAGTAGAGTGGGGATAAAAAGAGTTAGTCTAGTATTCGGCAGCGCGGTATTTTCTTCGTTCTGAAAGGAAACACTGAAAAAAAAAAGATTTTAGATGATTGAGTTCAATAATATTGGAAGATTCGACTGTATTTATAATTAATTACATACGATTTATTTTCTAGCAATTATTCAAATTATCATAAAATACTTATATGTAGCTGTGTCCAAGATTATAATTAAGAATATATATGGAACATAAATATATATTCAGTTTATAAATTATCGAACTAATTTTATGAACTAAACTCCACTGTAAATGGTGCATGTCACGACTGCAAAATATTTTTGGATAGCAAAAGCTACGTTTGTTCCAAAATTCTTCTGTGTCAAACACAGGTGCGTCGAATTTTTTTTTTTCTAAATGTTGCACCAACTTTTTTTTCAATATAATTTCAATGTGTAAGTAGGGCTTGTCAAGTACTATAACATATATTATTTCGGTGATTGTAGGTCACCAAGAACACTAAAAAAATTAAAGATGAAATATTTATTTATTAATTATCAATGCTCGTAATTATTTAAATAATCTAAAAAAATACTGAATATACTCTTTAACGTTTCCTACAACCTCATTTTGGATTTATCTCTCTAGCTCAATTATTTTTTAAGATATGGCTGTTTGACGGATAATCATATATACAACCATATCTCTAGATTGAAGTGGAATACGGCAGAAAAAATCATATAAATTGCATACACAGATCGAGTTGATACTTTATCATGAATTTAAAAAGAAGTTGTCATTGGGGGCCGATTCACAATACTTATCCTGCTACACCCTTTAATAGCTTTTTCATTGTTTATGGTTTAATTACTGTAGCTTACTGTTAACTTCGAACCAATTAATTAACTTTTTATTATAATTTAAAGTCATAAGCACTGTTGTGCGTAAATCCAATTTTATACTAATTTTAACAAACTTACCCAATATGGTGCAATAACAGGTCTAGAAGGTGGAATTTTTAGGTATTTCTTAAAAATATGGCCATTTGAAAAATATTTTCAAAGATAATTAGCAAGATAGTGCTGAAATATTCAATTTAAGAAATGCAGATATGTTACAGTTCAAAAACTTTACGAAAATATATTTATAGATGAAAATTACAAATAGCATTATGCTAATGGATGAGCATGGGAAGGTGAATGAAATGGATTACCATTGAATAAAAATATATTGCACTATTTTTCAAATATGCTTTTAACTATGATTGCAATAGTTAAATTTAACGAAGATATGATTTTCGTAAAATTTGTTATAATATGTATATTAGTAATTAAAAAGTGGCAACCCTAAAAACTTATTATGAATGAATAGTAGACTTACGGGATAATTAAAGATGGAGTAGCACAAGGTATCACGAACTATCAACAATTTCTTCACTACCTACACTACAAATATATTGATAAAATCACATTCAAAAATTTTAGTATAAGCTTCACATATTACCAGGTAAAATTATATTTCAATATACACAGCCAAATTACTTGGGGAAAAATACAACAAATCTACCCGTTTTGGCCAAGCTATAATAAAAATTTAGGCCCTAATTTTAAATATGTAAAGTTATATTAATTATATTACAAGTAGATAAAAAGATGTAACTATTCATTCAATCGATAACATTGCCAGTGTACAAAATTGTTGTCACGTGCCTTGAAAATAATTCATTTTACTCTATTTCATGAAAAAGTAAATACTGGTAGCGCATTGACTCACCCAACATTATTATAAAAAGTATAGTTCGAATTTAGGAGTTCGATCTTGTTCCTGAGATAGGACTTGCCTAAACAATTTGCGAGCACCGACTTGTATAACCACCAACTATACATTTGCTTATTTAAATTTTATACACTATGTAAAACAATACTTGACTTATTGCTTTATAATTAATTTCTTACATTTTTATAAATAGCACAATTTTTAGTAATTCTCATAAATAAAACATGAATAAGATTTTTTAATTCGTTTTATAATAAACAATTCAACATTCGACAATTCGTGCTATTATTATAAAAAAACTAATTAGAAATAAGCAGAATTGCCATACAAATATAGTATAGTAGGTGATAGAACACTTGTGTCAATCGGATTTAATGAGTATTTAAGTGTCTTATTACTAAATGATATTAATATAGCATGCGCTATCTAAGTTTACCCAAGATGGCACGAAATTAAACACATTGGATGGATGGCCGTTTTTACCGATGGTCCTTCGGAAGCCGAATAAACTTCGGGGACATTCAGGGTCATACATCGTGTTATCGTTTTTGCTCAAGTCAGAGTACACATACATACATAGAGTATATGCATATGGAATACGAGCCAATATTACCGTGCCGGGGCGGCGCTCAGAAGTGCGTGGTGAGGGGCGGCGGCGCGGGCGCGGGTTCCGCCGTGCGCTCGTAGAACAGCATGTAGGCGGCGCAGCGCAGCACCTCCTGCAGCGACACCTCGTGCACCAGCGTGTCCGACGTGTACCACCAGCTGGGAGGAGCCATCACAAGCTTAACTTTATATTTTCTGTGAATGTGTAATAGTGGTCATCTGGTTCTGATCTGATCTGATCAGAACCAGATGACCTGATCTGGGTTGATCGGGGTTTCGATATTTCATGATTTTATTTCCTTTCTTCTTTTTCTTTTCCCTGCCCACTTTCCAATCACTTGGGGTCGGCGCAGTACATCTTCCGTACTGCTGATAGGATTCGGCAAAAGTTTTACGACCGGCTATCTGCCTGATATCAACCCTCCTTGGGAATGCTATTGTCTCTCTTTGTCATCATCAATGGTATAGCGGAAGTCTTGTAACATGCACTTTCGATTTTTTTTGTCTTTTAATTTAAAACATTTTTTATACAAATATTTAAATTTTTTATGTTATTTTTAGATATATTTTAAAATAAATTTTGATTACACAATAAATTTTGCTTTGACGTTGTCAAATGCAATATTTGCAAATTATCGAATTTCAAATTTTAACTTTGATATCTTAAACTCATTTAAAGGACAACATCAAGATGTAATATAATATTTGAAATGTTTTATATATTTTATTAATCGATGTAGAAGAAATAGAATTTTATGTTTAAAAAAAACACGTCCCAACATATTTAGTTGACATAGTCAAAAAAAATAAAATAAGTGAATGTACCTATTATATACCATTTCCTTTGTATGCAAGAGGTTTTAGTAACATTTTAAAGTCAAAATTAAAAAGTCACACAATCACAAATCAAGTACACAATATAAAAAAAAACAGACTAAGTATGCACGCACCGCTTGCTCTCGAAGCCGTTGCCACGTCGGTAAGTGGCGAAGTGCCCGGAGCGCGGGCCGCCCACGTGCACCACCACGGCGGCCAGCCGGTACAGCGCGCGCTCGGGCGCCTCCGCCCTCAGCACCGACAGCCCGCCGCGCAGCCGCCCCGACCCAAGCAGCGCCGACAGCTCCGTCTAAGGTACGTCATACATTATGCTACTAAATTTGTGCTTCTAGGTGCCTTTATAAAAGTTCCTTATCACACGTCACTCGACACACTTGTAGAATGAGAGCTAGACGGAAAAAAGTGTAATATGTCGACCGTCACGACACTTTATTATTTGCTAAGAGTACCCCGTGTGACGTCGTCACAACTCATAAGTACCAGGCGAGCATAAATGTTAAGGAGTGCATGTTGTAAGAAATTCGTGCGCACTCTGTGCAGGTATTGAAGAAAGCGATGAGCTTGAATATGTAAAATGTACGTTGCTTGATGTTTATAATACCCTAGTATTTATGAGCTAAGGGCACATAGCGACAAAACATTAGTTCTTACAGGATGTCCCATGATACCTCTGGTTTATTTTTATAATATTAATATACTCTATTCACGGAATGAACCATGCAAAGCGCTTTCTCTGTCCCACATTAGCATACAACCTGATAAGGACAGAAATTTGTCTAGCTCCCTAGCCCCCACTAACACTTGTAACTTGTTTGACATCATAGGGCTCGTTCATGTTGCTAATTCTTTAGTGAGGAATTATAAATAATCCTCGATTCCCTCGGGTGCATCCCTAGATGGCAAACCTATGCGTTACCCCAGCCACGTGGTCCCCAGCGTACCTGCGGGCGCTGCTGCTGCGCGTAGGGCGCCATGGAGAGCGTCTCGGCGAAGGCCACGTGGTCGCCGCGCTTGGCGGGCCCGCCACCGCGCCACTCCACGCGCGCGATGTGCAGCACCAGGCACGCCGGCAGCTGGAACAGCCCCCGGACGTGACTACAGACCATCACGTGATAGCCATATGTGATAGATAGTGATAGATAAGTTTATGTGGCCAAAACTGCGTTCTGATAACTTGTAATAATTTCATAGATAATATTCTAGGTCACTAAGTTATTTAGGCATTTAAAATGTCTTTAAATGAAATATTACACGAATGAATAAAATATATCAATTAATTCAAACTTGTCTTTCTAATAATAATAATACTCATTATTGCACACTGAAAACTAAAATACAAAGAAAAAAAGAACACAAAGAAAAGCAAAAGCCTGCAAAGCAGGCGACCTTATCGCTGGAAGCGATATCTTCCAGGCAACCTTGAGGAGGAGGAGTAAATTTTCATAAAACGGTAGGCGGTGTACTTGCATTGACACATTTATGTATATAAATACTTATAGATAAATATATACATATACCAATACTTTAATACATACATACATATATACATACTTACATACATGTTCAGTCAACAATGTTATTTTACAAATCCATCACTTACCTTCAAGTACCTTTCTCAATAAACCTGTATATCTGAGAGAACTTAGCAAGTTTTCGAAAGACATGCTCAGTCTGCCCGCACTTGGCCAACGTGGTGGACTATGGCCTGATCCCCCGAGTATTGGAGGGAGGCCTATCCTCAGCTGTGGGACGTTAAAAAAAGAACTGAATATTCACCTTTCCAAAATTAACTGTCCGTATGTGTTTAGAGTTCTGGTTGGAGTCGCCGCCGGTGGGCGATTCGGAGCCGTTCTTCTCCGAGCACTTGGAGCAGCGCAGACCCTTCACCAGCTCGGGCGCTGTGAACGCGCGCAGCAGACCTACGGACAATACGTTATATTATAATAACTAGCGACTCACCCTCTCTTCGCTCGGGTTCGGCCCTAGCTTGATTCCCCACACAAACTTTCATCCCCATTTTCACTCTCTTACAGGATGATTTCCAGTATAAAAAGTATCCTATGTCCTTCCCAGGGTCTCAAATTATCTTCTTACCAAACATCTATAGTAGGGGAGCCCAAGAGGGGATTTTCTGTAGTTACTCGAGCGCGGCAGATTAACATACAAGAGGTTACCTTGCACTCTATTGAGTACTTTCACCATAATATAAGTCTTCAATATAAAGGGGCGCGTCTAGGGAAGCCGATTAAAATATTTAAAAATGTTTTGATAAGGTAGAAATACTTGAAACCGTCAGATTAAGGTGTGGTAGGCTAGTCACATCCTGAAAAGTGTCCAATTCAATAATCTGCCGATTTGCACAAGCCGAAGAGGCAAAAATCGACTATAAAGTTTATGATGATTTTTGCCTCTTAGGCTTGTGCAAATCGGCAAATTATTAAATTGGACACTTTTCAGGATGTGACTAGCCTACCACACCTTAATCTGACGGTTTCAAGTATTTCTACCTTATCAAAACATTTTTTAAATATTTTAATCGGCTTCCCTAGACGCGCCCCTTTATATAGAAGCCTTATATTGTGGTGAAAGTACTCAATAGAGTGCAAGGTAACCTCTTTTATGTTAATCTGCCGCGCTCGAGTAACTACAGAAAATCCCCTCTTGGGCTCCCCTACTACTACATCGGTTCAGTAGATCCAGAGATTACCTATATAACTTTAACTCACAAACTTTACCTCTTTATAATATTAGTATAGATGATATCCTCAATCTCATTGAGTAAACTGCGCGGTATGTATGTGTGCAGAGATAAGTGCACCCTCTGTTCCTTTAAATTTCACATTCGGGTAAGACGAAAAGCCGCCGCGACCGTTAAGTGTGTATCTACACGTTATACATAAGTATACATATAGTTAGTTACCTGATAAGCTATATGAGCCGGAGCGGCCGACGGTAGCGTTGGCCATCGACAGAGTGACGCTGTCGAACTTGTCGTACCGCACTGGACTCTGCAAATCAATACATGTGTTATGTTTATTGTTTTTCAACGCATCGGCGAAAGTATTGGCAAATTTTTATGTATTCTACATCACTTTCAAACATGATTCATAGCATTCAAATAACATATTATCATACACATTCAGACGTATACGTCAAAAACTACAACACTTTTAGTTTTAGAACTACAATTATTTTGAAGTTGGAATATGTTATCATTATATTGAAAAGAAGTAGCCCACCTTAGTATTACACACGGTGCAGTGCGTGCGCGAGGCGAGCGTGCCGCGCGTGGGTGGCTGAGGCGCGGGGCGTGCGGGCGCGGCCGCCCAACGCCGTCCAACCGAGCTCAGGTGGCAGAAGGACCGCGACACGCCCTTAGACAGCCGCGGGGGCTCCGGTAAAGGCTCCTCTAACATTGCCAAAATAAACGTTAAATACAACTATTGACTATCCTGTATTTCAAGCAAGCTATCTAAAAAGAGGAGGTATCGATAATCTAAGAAGATTGACTTTAAGATTGATTAAGAAGTTTTAACTGAGGTCTTCTTTTGTATGTTGAAATTAAAATAATGAGTATTCAGCCCTGTTTAACGTCCCAGTGCTGGGGGTGGGCCCACCGTCAATATGAGGGGAATCAGTTCAACAATTCAACAAATTCAAGTTAGATATGATTTGCAGATGAAAATATCAGAGCAAAAATATAATAATCTTCAATTCTTATCAACTATTAAAATATGCGTGTACACTTTGAATGTTAAATTAACAATTAATAAATGCTTCTTAAAGTCTATTTGGATAAGCTTATTATATTGAAGTAATCCTATTTATTCACGCATAAAACAATAACAATCACATTGCAATTATTGTTGCAATGAACATAATATATTCTTATCTTGATAATATTTTAATTGAATCAAGCACATAAAATAGAAAAATAAAAATTTCCTACCATTAAATATATTTAAGTCTTTAGTAGTGAACTTATTAGCCCTGACCATAATTCAAACTTGTGATGGGGAAGTAAGCATTACCGGAAAGATGGCTGACTAATAAGACATAGATACTTCCTATTTCCAAGAACTTATTGTCCTACCTGGATCAGCGAGTTCGGGTTCTCCAGGCGGAGCAGCAGACGCCGGTCGGGCCGGCCTCGCCATACCGTCCCGCAGAGACAGAGGCGCTGAAGGTGGCGAGGCCGGGGACGCTAGTGCAGACCACGCCCTACCACCGCCTAGACCCAGGGCGTCGGAGAGGCAACCAGGCTGTTTAAGATTTGGTCTTTATTTACCTTCTTAATAAATGTTTTCTGAATGATGTTAGTTTAAATGTATGGGTTAGATAAATAACAAAAAAAATGATATTTTAACCAAACCTGATTTCTAATTTGAATTGAAATTTTAATCAAAAGTCCAGTAAAAAGTCTACAATAAAATTTTAAAGGTACATACATAATATAAACTGCCACAACATCTGAAGAGACTATCTTAATTAAAAAATATTTTCAATATTCTATGAACAATTTTATGGAAAAATTATTGCATGTCTATACAAGAGTAGGTATTAGTTTAACAGAGCAACTATTACCATTTGCATAAAGGAAAAATAAAAATAAAAATTATATACCTTTTTTGCCATTGCGGCAGTCTCTTCTTCTACACATGATAACAAAACATACAATAATTCATGGGCATCTTGCTGATCTGCTGGAACAACCCAGCCTGCTCCTCTTAATGCTTGCAACACTCCTAGAGGACATACTGGAGTCCCTCTTGCTGATTCATGGGTACCATTTACAACTGAAAATAAGTATACATTGTATAAATTAGTCATAGCATAAATATTTTATTTCTGAAATTAGAATTATTTTCCTAAATAATATGTTTTTTTTTGTTAAATCTAAGCATTGAAGACTTATGTAAGTCTATTCTAAATATTCTAAAAGATTTAAAGGAACAAGTATGACATAAATAAAGATTTGCTTATTAGTAATCTTATAACATTTTTTTAAACCATACATACAAGTCTACTTCGATCTTTTTATCAATTAATATATTAAAAATTAATGTATTTCATTTTTATTTACTGTATTAATGTATACCTAAGCTTATTACTATATTTTTTCGATAACTGTTACAACTAAATATTATAATATATAAAAAAAGATATAACTTAAAGACCTTCAATAACTGTGTACAACGTCGTAATCATACTGTTATGTCCATCGGCCTTAGCATACTTCCTAAGCCAGTCAATAAATGTAGGACAGGCAGCAAGGGCCTGTAATAATGTATTTAAGAAGCACGTCCTTCCCAAGTTCTGCAATCCTGCTATCTGACCTCGACGCTTTCGAACTTTTGGAGCTCCACCTGGACCCCATAATACAAAGGCTCCAACCACAACCGCGGCGGTTAGCCCCGCGGCTACTAAAATTCTATCACCACCGTCCATAATCTCTAAATCGTTGAGTTGACTATACGCACTACATACATACTCAAAATATGATTATTTCGATTTATTTTCGTCTAAATTTTATAAGAATAATTCATTTTACTGAAATTGAAAATTAATAATTTCTTCTCGCGAGCCGTGACATATAAGTTTGACAATTATTTGACAATTGTTAATTGACACTATTGTTTCTGAACGATTAAAAAATTGGTATAATTCTAGTTCATATTCTATTGAATAATATCTACTACCAAGCCCTTTTATATATTTTATCTATAAATTTAAGTTTGTTTTGTAACATTCCAATCGGAATACTATACAAAATATCAATAAAATTTAACGTCGTGAATTCGATTTCCGATTGGTCTTAGTAGTCTTTTTGTCACGACTCACGATCAACGATGACACATTGATAAGTGACATTTGGCAAAGCATGCTATTGTTCCGTAATTTTGTAAATAAATAAAGGGGAAAATAGTATAACAAACTGATTATTCTATTATCAGTCCGAGAGTTCAAACGTTAGTTCTTAATTTAATATGAATTACACGCGCCGCACTCATGTAGAACATCCGCTAATTTTAAAATTGTGATCTAAATCAATTTCAAATATTTATCGTTTGTTAGAATTTTACAATGATACCATCAAATACTATTTGTGTGTCTCAAGAAGGGCCAGCCAATGCTCTAGCTTTAAATAAAGATTGTAGTCAAGTTGTGATAGCAGGGCGAAATGGTTAGTATGTTTTATTAAAGTAATCTTATTTTTAAATCAATTGATATTAAAACTACTGAAATTGAAATTTGCCAACAGTATTCAAAGTATTCTCAATTGGTGAAGATGAATTCTCGGAAGTTTGTAACTTGAGAGTGGGAAAGAATTTGAATCTAAACTTTTCGTCTATTGATGTTGCATGGAGCACTATTGAAGGTAATACATAATTTATTTCAACCTATTATCAAAAATGTATGCTTATATTATAATATGTTTAGTATAGTTTGTTTTACTTACAGTCAATTTAATAATCATAGCATAATTAAAAGATGTTAAATTAATGAGTTAGTAAACATGATAATGACAATTACTATGTAAGATGGTCATATTTTAAAAGAATACATATTTTGCTTTTCATATTAATACCAATGTTTACTAGCAGTTAATTAGTAATTAAATTTCTAGTTTACTTATATTTAATTTACTTTCCTTTAAGAAAACACTCTAGCAACAGCAGCAACAAATGGTGCAGTAGTGGTATGGAATTTAGGCAGATCCGGCCGCTCTAAACAGGAACATGTATTTTCTGACCATAAAAGGACTGTTAATAAAGTAAGATGTAAAATAGACCTAAAAAAATATCTATGACTGTAATATAAATTTATGTAAATGGAAAATACTTTAAAAGTCAATAAATGTAAGTGTTCATTTTCAATAAGGTAAATATTCATAGGATATCATTAAATAAAAAATAAAATTTATAATAATATTATTTATATTTATTCTGTGAATAAAATAATTCAGTTTTTATACTATATATATTTTTTAGTCAGATAATTATTTTGTTGATGATCTGATGACGGATAAATGTGTTTGAAATAAGTGAATTTGTCAGAATAAATAAATGCAGGGACCCTTTTTTTAAAAAAAAATTGCATTTCCAATATAGGTAAGCTTTCACCTGACAGAACCTGCTCTGCTAATATCAGGATCGCAGGATGGGATGATGAAATGTTTTGATCTGCGCATGAAGGAAGTTGCCAGAACATTTATTAGGTAAGTGTATTATTTTCCTTATTTTTTAAATTAAGTTAATAGTCATAATAGTGTTATGTTATATCCATATCACCTCCAGGTAAATTTCTAAGAAATTCACACAATATAAGCTCAACTGATTTACTTAAGTGAAATTGTGAATGTAGATAACGAATGTCCTGGATTTTTTAGATATGTAAGCTACTTGTTATCATAGCTGGTAATAACTGGTTAGTGATATTAACAATAAAAAACTGACCCAAATCATTCAACCAACTAAACTAAAATGTGTCCGTGACTCCTCGTACGATTCAGCAACACAGAGTCCATCCGGGACGTGCAGTTCAGCCCGCACCAGGCGCACGCATTCGCGGCGGTGTCGGAGAACGGCACGGTGCAGCTGTGGGACGCGCGCCGCCACGAGCGCGCGCTGCACCAGTTCACGGCGCACTCGGGGCCCGTGTTCGCCTGCGACTGGCACCCGGACGTGCCCTGGCTAGCCACCGCCTCCAGGGATAAGACCATCAAGGTATTCTAAAGTGTTTTTCTTCTTGTGTTCCTTCTTTCGGCACGACCTTTCCCACACGAAGGCACGAAGTTTCCCGTTGTGCTTATTTCATTTCTGATTTGTTTAGAAGGTACCATATTATTCTGTTTTATATGTATGTATATCGATTTCATTTATATTTATGATTAATTCAAAATATCATTGTGTATTAAAAACTAAATTCGTAATTATAATAATGACTAATTCGTCTAGTAGCAGCGTACAAACACTGTGACAATAGGTAGTTGGGAAGATAACGATGTCATCCTATGTGCTAGAACAGCACATAAAGTCGTCAATCCTTCATCAGTGCTATTGCCGGTCTTCTCGAATTTGCGTCCTATTAAACTATGAGAATGGTAGCAATATAGATTTCAACTGTAAATGCGTATGCGCACATGCATTATACCTTGACTATGTATTGATCAGGATTTAATTTCATATAAATTAAGAGGTTCTACAAAGGTATCTGCTAACCTTAGAGGTACTGGAACATATTTGTGCTGTAAATGCCTTATGGCCTAAAATAATATGCACAAAAGTAGGTATCTTTTGTGCTTTCAGAATATATCATTTTATCAACAACAAAGTAAAATAATCTAAATTGTATCTATTGTGACTATTCACCAAGTGGGTCGCAGATAACGCCGTCTAGTCTGTCTGTGTGACGTGCTGTCTGTAGATATGGCATTAGTTTATCTCACAGCTACATTTAAAATTATAAACGACTTGACACTTTGTATGGTTATAGTATAATTTAGTACATCAGCTAAATTAGCTATTCGGCTGGTTCTTCGTCGCTTTATTTGTTTGTTTATTTAAGATCTGATGCAACTTTTGTAAGAAGTATGCATGAAAGATTCGATTCTTGACGGTGGAAGTCGGCGAAAAAGTTATATAGTACTTATAAAGGTTATTATTTTTGAAAACTCAACACACGTAGTAAGTAATATTATTAATAATAATACAATAAAAATAAAAAATAATAATAACTCTCTTATTGAAGATGTACAAACAAATAAAGCGTTGGTTTTAAAAGTCAAACTTTGTTTTTATTACATACTAGCGACTCAACCTCACGTCGCTCGGGTTCGTCCCTAGCTTGTTTCCCCATACAAACTTTCATCCCCTAGGGGCGATTCCGGGATAAAAATATATAAATATTCCGATAAAAATTTGCGTACTTTGCAAATCCGACTACCATGAAAGTCTTTTCATTCTTTGGGTTAATATAATATACAGAAAGAACGTGGCTTCCTATTGGTAAAAGAACTTTCAAAATCGGTTCAATAGATCCAGAGATTACCCCCTATAACATCACAAACTCACAATATCACAAACTTTACCTCTTTATAATATTAGTATAGATTATTTATGTTTTTATTATTATTATTACATAGGTGTGGGATATCCACGCACGGCCGAATTTGGAGCACACGATTTATACGATAGCATCCGTCGGACATGTGAAATGGCGTCCGCAGAAGAAGTAACTATGTGTTTTTATTATTTATTAGTTTCTGAATAGTGTAAATAAATTTTTAACATTAAATATAGAAAAAAAACCTTTATAAAGGCTAAAATAAGCTTAAGAATGTGTTTCAAAAAGGTAAAACATAGTATATACACATAAAAAATATTTTAAAAAGTAATTATCCTTAAGAGTAATTACATATTTTAAAACTGCAATATACGATAAAAGTAATCACAAAAATCGTTTAACATACATAAAGTATAAAACACGCAAATTGAGTCTCCTGTATCCAAGTCATCAAGTAACATGAAGAGATGATCTAGTGAGGAGAAGGCTACATGTCACACGTGTCTACACGTGCGTCAGATTCCAGGTGGCGTCGTGTGCGCTGGTGCTGGACTGCGCCGTGCACGTGTGGGACGTGCGGCGCCCGCACGTGCCGCTGGCCACCTTTGCCGAGCACCGCGACGTCACCACCGCCATCGCCTGGCAGGCCGAGCCGCACGCCTTTCTCTCCACCAGCCGGGTACGCTGCCTTCACTTATCTTCTCATATATTTCCACATTACACCTGGTGACATAGTGACTCAAAGGCTGGTAATACACAGCTACACAGTTGTGGGTATCTAGTAACTTCTCAAAGTTAATTCCACCCGCTGTAACCCAACGGAACCATCTCTACCTTAATGGGGCGTCTCAGGGTCACTTACGCACTCGGCCATGACGGCTGGTCTATCTAGACAAATCACAGCAACCAGAAGATCAAGACCAGAAGCCAAGAAAATACAGCAGGATCTTTTCAAATTTTTTATTGGACTCCTATTTCTTATAAAATTCACATAACATTTTATATTACACTACAACACTACACTAGTAAGTCACCCTCGCTTCGCTCGGGTTCGTCCCTGAGTTACTTCCTCATATAAACTTTCATCCCCATTTTCACCCCCTTAAGCGATAATTTCCGAGATAAAAACTATCCTATGTCCTTTCCAGGGTCTCAAACTTTCTACTTACCTAATTTCATCTAAATTGGTTCTGTAGTTTCGGAACCTATTCCGCATAAACAAACAAAAAATCTTTCCTTTTCTATATTAGTATAGATAAAAATATAGTACCATAACAGAGCAACACAAATGCAAATATTTCACAATAGGTCTCCTTAAATTGCATTTCAAACTGTATATTCTCATTTGTGACTTCTAGTGATAATATATTACGGTGAACTGTACAATAATTAGCTTCATTATTGATTTTAAACATGCACTGGGAATATCATTATCGGTTTCGACAATAAATACACGAGTCATTCACGTGTAATATGAATTGGATATTTATAGTTTCCACGTGTAGATCATTGGCAATATTTAGTATGTAGTAGGCATTGAATAGTAAATATTGACGCGTGCTCGTCTTGTTGTTTTGCATCGTCCATAACGATATTTAAAGATTACACATCAGTCTACAAGAACATGTTCTAATCATTTTGGGAAATTAGAGTTACAACGACTATTAAGCTTATTTTTATTACTATTATCTAGTTTTGCCCATAGCACTGATTTTAAAAGTGGACTAGGGTTAAAAGTTAATGTCCATCTACATGATGTAATCTATATTATTGCAAAATTTTATCAAAATCTGTTCAGCAGCTTAAGCTTTAATAGACAAGCAAAGTTAATTTCATTTATAATTATGGATATCTTAAGGACACTCTCCATGGCTAGCAGCTTTAGATTAGGTACTTTTAGCCGAAAATCATTTAAAACTACTAGTCTATTTTAACGTTGTTTAACCTCGATGTTCAATTGCGGCTCGCTGTACTTAACATTGTGTTAGAAAGTAAATATAAAAAATACCAGTGTCAGTGAGAGTCAAGCTGGTGCAGGACTGCTCGCTGTACCGGCACCGCTTCAGCGAGGCGGCGCACCCCGTGCTGTGGGCCAACCCGCATGGCGTGGCGCTATCGGCGCGCGGCGAGCTGGCGCACGCGCGGCCCACGCGCCCGCTGCCCGCGCTGCACCCCACCGCGCCCGACCGCTACGTGCCCGCGCTCGGGTTTGTTGTTTGCCTTGCCTGCCTTGTTGTTCTTATATGATATTCATTTTTTTTAATTGGTCAAATTTATATTTTAAATATTTGCCTTATTTAATCAATTTGATATTTAATTGAATAAAATAGTAACAATTTAATAAAGAACCATTTTATACATGTAAAATAAAAAATAATTTATATAAAATTAAAAAAAATCATTGGTACAATGAATATCGCGTTTTTCAGTCGTAAACAGCCCACCGCTGGTTCACTGAGCGCGAGTGCACAAGCCACACTGGAGCGTGCGTTCGCTGGCGGCGCTGCGTCCGCGCTGTGGCGCCACACGCCCACACTGGCTTCCAGCGCGTCCAGCGCCGCCAGTGCCGCCAGCGCCAGCAGTGGCGCCAGCGCCACCAACGGGGCCAGCGCCACCAGCGACGCCAGCCCGCTGCCCGTGGTGCTGGCGTGCGCGCGCGAGTACCGCATCCGCGGGCACGCGCCGCACGTGCTGGCCGAGCACAACGCGCGCGTCGCCAGGGAACACCAGCGGTATATGGGGAGTTCTAAACATACTGTGCTGGCTTCATGAATAATATATAAAAATAAATTAAAAAATATGACTGTTTCGAATTTATTATAAGTTTTTATTATTGATTAGTAGCAAAATACTTAAATAACCATTAACCATTACTGATAATCCCAACTTCTTCTTCTGAATAATTAAAACATTTTAAAATACATTAATATTAGTTATTGTAATTATTTTAAAATACATAATTGAAAATTAATGAAAAACATGTGTATGATTGGTATCTATCCCGACGGCCCGGCAGGTGTCGCACGTGTGGGAGGTAGTGCGCGCCGTGTACAGCGCGCGCGCCGCGCCCGCGCCCGCGCCGCCGCCGCCCGCGCCGCCGCCGCGCCGCGATCCTGCGCCGCCGCCGCCCTACAGGTGCGCCCGCTGCCCGACTGCGGCTTGGCGAAAACATACTATCACCTACTAAACCCTAACGGACTCTTCTCCGTCTTAATGGAACGCTGCAATATCACTAAAGCACTCGAACACGATGCCCCGAAGACTGGCCTTCCGAGGTAGAACTCCTCCTGAATGATAAAGCCGACTTTTCTCACCCACACTCCACCGAGATGAACCGCCTCCCGAGTGCGTTTCTTAGTTTTTATCCGCCCGGTTGGATTTTGCTGAACGTAGACTTTTTCCAATGACAACTATTTCGGTGTCGGATTCATCCGCTGCCTAAATTCAAATGGTCTACATTAAAAAACTCACCCATTAAAGTAAAATATTTACTTTTCACTAATTTTGAAGTGAGCGTACCTGTTATGACAAAATCCATCAAAATTTATATGCATATAATATTTCGAGTTAAAAAAAAAATACTTTTTTCTAGTCTTTGAAAATAATAATCGAATTTTTAATTGCATCGTACTCCAGCGCGGTGGAGGAGGAGCCGATAGAGGAGGTGGAGGAGTGGGAAAACCACGAGCACAAGAACAGCGGCGTGCTGGGCCTGCCCACGCACAGCATCTACATCCCGCCCGCGCGCCGCGCCGCGCGCGACGCCCCCGACGACGGTCGCTCGTTCATACATTTATACACTTGCTCACTCACTCACTCTTTGTTTTTGTTGAATGGTCTTGTTTTGTTACCGATAAATGTAGTTTAAAATATTATTTTAATAATATTAATTATTAATTAAAATTAGTTCATTATATTATTGAATTTATAATAATATTTTTAGTATAATTGCAATTTATAATTTTGTCTATAATATAAAAATGAATCGCTGAATGTGTTGGTAAGAGCAAATCTCGAGAGAAGCTGAACCGATTTCGCTAATTCTTTTTTTAGAATATTCCTTGAAGTACGAGGATGGTTCTTACGGAGAGAAAAATTTAAAAAATTGCCTGAAAAAGTCTGAAAACAACACTTTTCTATACTCCCATACAAAAGATTCGTAATAATACTTCAAAGTCAATTTGAACTTTAATACCATACCATAAAGTTTAAGAGTTAGTGGAGAGGTTCCGGGAAGGAAAAATAATTGAGTGACGTTAGTACCGTATAAATATTAATGTCAATATTTGTCAATATTATTAACAAAAAAAATTAAAATTTATATGGCTAACGTTGGCTAATAACTATTTATATCTATATAAAACGTACCTAGCGACAAACCCGAGTGAAGCGAGGGTGAGTCGCTAGTTTAAAATAAATTTTTTTTGGCCCCACAGGTACTTTCATATATATTTTTTTCAAGATTTAGGTTTTGTCTTTCCTGTTTAAATTTTAAACTATTAATTTTAAATTTAATTCTGAATAAAAACTTTTTTAAAACGAATCTATTGGCAATCATTGAAACCTAATAATAATAAATCCATGTGAGCAATAAGTAAACGTGCGTGTCGTCCCAGCAGAGTGCGGCGGCTGGGTGTCGGCGGCGTCGGCGCACTACGTGGACGTGGAGGCGGCGGACTGGACGCTGCCCGACGAGGCCTTCCCGCTGCGCGCGCCGCCCGCGCCGCCCGCCCCGCTCGCGCCGCCCGCGCCGCCGCACGACGCGCCCGCACACGGTCGGACCAAGAGGAACCATTGAAAAGTTCCATTATCGATACTATCAAATTATACGATTATCATCCAGATTTGACATAATACCTAACATATCTAAAACAAAACGAATGAATATTTTTATTTGACAATTGGTCAAATGTTTTAATAAAAACGAATCACAAAAAATAACGTTCTCCTGAGTGTTTTCGGCCACACCATATCATTTCTATTCCTTTTTAAGCGTAGGGATATAACACCACCAATTTCCCAACTTCAGCTCAATCACCATACTTGGCTCTATCTGGGATTTGAACCCAGGACACTTGAGAACATTGTTGTTTATGTTACCCATAAGACTAATAAGGCAGCAGTAATGCCTTTCGAGTTATTGGTAATTTTCTCATTAACAATTTAACTGACAATTTAAATTGAATACAACTTGACGTTTCTAAAAGTCAAAATAGACTTTTTTTATTTCATTCGCAGTCAAGTAATTATAGGAATAATGTGATTAACGTAATTATTTGATATGTTATCTAGAGGGCGCAGGCTACGCGCGTGCGGGTGGCGCGGGGGGCGCGGCGGCGGGCGCGTCGTCGCCGGGCGGGTCATCGGGCTCGGGCTCCAGCGCGGCGCCGCCCTCGCCCACGCTGCTGCGCCCCGGCAACGGCTCTGTCAGTTAACACTCTTTACTTTTAATTCCACTAAGTTACTTGAGTGTTTTTTTAGTATTTCGATCTTAAGTTTAGAAAAGAATTATATATAAAAAAATATGTTTTATGTATATTCGAAATGTAATGTTTTGTATTTATGATTCAATGGTGTGTTAAAGAAGAATGAAAGTCGTAAATGTAGGATATGTTTTGGGTTATTTTGTTTTGTTTCATATTTTGTAACAAGTTAATTTTCATGATAAACTTATCAAAAATTACGCCATCTCTACACGTTGAAAGGACAAAAGGAAAGGTAAACTGTTTTTGTAGAGATATTTGGCAATTTTAAAAATATAAGTCGTCGTCGCATTTTTTTATATTGAATGCTATGACAGACGGAGGCGGGCGGTGCGGGAGAGGCGGGAGAGGCGCTGTGCGTGCGCGAGGCGCGGCGCGGCGGCGCGCTGCGCGCGGGCCCGCTGCTGGCGGCGGCGCTGCGCCTGCACGCGGCGCTGGGCGACGTGCAGACCGCGGCCGTCGTCTGCCTCGCGCTGCAGGACCACCGGTACCTCCCCACACACGCTATATCACTTACGAAGTAGATCACGTAGCTAACGAATTACTTAAATATTCATTAATGATAAATTAACGACTTTTTGAAACATACTCGCGTCTTTATAAACCTTCATGCGGATTTTAAATCGAACATTCCAATCTTCTAATACTAAATGTTCAATTTTTGTCATTTACTTATTATAATATATGCTTATCTTTATATATATAACTAGCGGACCCGACAGACGTTGTCCAGTCTACACGTCTTTAATTTGAAAATTTCAAACTTTTTTTAATAATTTTTTTGATGAAAATTATTATTCAAATTGTGAATCTAAACCATTCCCAGATCCCCTTGAACACACACAAAAAATTTCATCAAAATCGGTCCAGTCGTTTGAGAGAAGTTCAGTGACATACACACTCACAGAAGAATCTTTATATATATAATTTTGTTTGAAATTTTCAAATTAAAGACGTGTAGACAGGACAACGTCTGTCGGGTCCGCTAGTAATATATAAAGTTTTACATGTAGTACATTACTTATTATAGCGCAAAAATAAATAAAACTTCTCTTTATATACGAAACTGTATATCATTCAATTTTCTATAAAATGAGAAAATACAGTATTTGTTTTTGTTGCAAATTATTATGACCATTAATTTAATTTTGCAGTAACGATCTTTTATCATACATCGACGAGAGCATGCAGGAGCAGTGGCTGCTCGGCTACATCGAGCTGCTGCAGCGGCACAAGATGTGGAACGAGGCCACCGAGGTCACCGATTTGCTTTATTTTTCGTTCATCTCCACGATAGTCGCTATTCTCTAGTCATAATTTTGCAATAATTCACTAAGAATATCAAGTTGTTGTTCCATACACAAACGAAAGCCAAACGAATACAGAGTGCATTTGTGTATTCATTAGTATGATTTGATTAGTGCCAACCTTACCTTACGCCGCCATGAACGACTCTACTCTATTCACGGAGTGAACCATGCAAAGCGCTTTCTCTCCCATATTTGCATACAAACTGATAAGGACAGAAAACTGTCTAGCTCCGCTCACTAAGACTTGCAATCATATCGCTCTTTCATGTTGCTAATGCTTTAGTGAGGAATTATTAATAATTTGTAATAAAATAAAATCAACATTAAAGTAAAATTTACTGTATTTTTAAATATATGCATTATTTATTAATTTTACTTTTCAACGTATCACTGTCATCTCCTACTTTGATATCTAATAAATCAGATAATTACACGAGAGACGTCTGAACGGCATGGAATGCAGCAACGGACTAATTATGATTGTAATAAATATGATTGTATCGCGGTCTGAGCGTCTTATCTGCAACTAATCACGTGGAAGCGCAAAATATCAGTGCTCGGTTCATTCGGCGAACACAGTATAGCTGCGTATAACCAGTTGCGTGGCGCCCGTCGCAGGTGATCCGGTGCGCGTGGGTGAACAGCGTGTGGAGCATCTCGCAGCAGAGCACGGCGCTGACGGCGTGCTGCGGGCGCTGCGGGCGCCGCACGCGCGCGCGCGCCCCCTGCGACACGTGCGCGCCGCGCGCCCCGCCCGACCTGTGCGCCGTGTGCCACCGCGCCGTGCGCGGCCTGTACGCCTGGTGCCAGGGCTGCGCGCACGGCGGCCACCTGCTGCACATGCGCGCCTGGGCCGCCGCGCACCGCCTGTGCCCCGCTGGCTGCGGACACGCCTGCCACCTCGGCTGATACACATACACATACACCCCAACTCTATGGTTATCATTTTTTGTTCAATTATATCGGTCCATTTTAAAACGACGAGCATAACTTTAGTGAAATTGATAAAAGCTCCGTTTCGTGCATAAACACCATGAGTATGAATTACTTTTCCTTTAAGTCATAATATAATATACTGTCTAATACGGTATCTAATAGTATAACGTGGCCAGAGGTTCCAAACGTTTTGGTCAGAAATGTTACCGATAACGAAAATGTTTCACACATTTTTTAGTTATTTAGTATAAGAAAGTAATATATTTAGACTGAATTATTATAATTTGTTATTTGTAATTTTATAATAAAACGAAATTAAATTATATACAAGTTTATTCAATATCCCTTACAAATAAATCGTCGAAAATCATGTAATACTGATCAAGTTAAGTTTTTAATATATAAATTATTTCAACCTATAATAAAATCGTACTTCTGCATTATTATAATAAAACAAGCCTGTAATGAAACTAACCTATGACATCGCATATAACAATCAGGAGGCAAATTACAATCATATATACACATGTATATACACAATGTTAAATATCAAGAAAATAACTTCATAACGAGACAATAAAAGGACATTTAAAAATTAATGAACAATAATGTGATTAAATTAACAGAAATGTCACGTTTTCAACCACCTAACTCCTAAGTAAAGTTTGGAAAAGTTTGAAGAGTGTTTTATTCTTAAATTTTAAATGTAAACATTAAGTCTCCAACATGAGGCAGACTGTTTTTGTACTTAAATAAGAAATTAAGTCAAATAGTCCAGTTTTTAATTGACTTTCTCAAGCAATCATAAGTATAGATTCTAAATATCGAAATCCTATCTTTTTTACACCTTAATATTTACGTATTATATCAATTATTGAGCAATTTTGAGGAAATATGTATGTTTTTAAAACCCACGATGCTTATGTCCAGGTAACACCAATCATTTTTATCTAATCTATACTGATATTATAAAGAGGCAGTTTGTTTGTTTGAACGTACTAATCTCAGGAACTAATAATCCGATTTAAAAATTCTTTTTGCATTAGACAGCCCGTTTATTGAGGAAGGCTATGGGCTATATATCATCATGCTACTACTCAAAGGAGCGGAGCAGTAATATAATATATAGTCTATGATAATTAATCTCTATTGATCCAGTAAGATATCCAGTGAGAGTGGTTATGTAACTATATAACCTGTATAATAACTGTTCTGAAGTAAGCTACAAATGGCTGCGCAGTTGTCACTATTAGTGTCAAAATAGCAATGTGGCAATAATGTCACTCTGTTCACAGTTGATGCATGTTTGACCGTTGACAAGCCTAAATTCAAAGCGGCTCAATTACAACAAAAGTACTTTTACATGCTTTATTTTATGTAAAAAATATATTATACGTAAACACGACTAAGCACATCAGTACTAAAATTAATATTTATATTTTTATAATATAATATTAAAATTATCTTTAAAAAGAGTGGATTTATTCTAATCTACAAGAGGCGAGCCCTAGCAGATTATTGCACAGAGTATAATTTTTTCTAATATAATTTCAACACTAAAAATGTAAAATTTAGTACTATTAACATATCATGATGTCATTACTTCTTATGAAGAACCTATATATATCCAAAGATAACGTTTAGATAAGAATGTATGAGAAAGAGATCATAAGCCAAGTATTACTGTCAGTAGGAGTTTAAAGATAACGTCAACATTGAAATCTTCCAGAACAGTCAAATATCAATGGATTTGATTTGCATATAAGTCAGAAGCCCTTAGAACGATCTTTTTGCTTCAAATCATTTTTATCAGGCCAATTATGGTTTACTTTTGTTTCCGCTAGTGGCGCTGCTAAGCTGCTACTTTGCTTATTGTATATAGAATATCACTACTTAAATATTATTATTTTCACTTTATAAACTCGTACTAAGGTTGAAGAGGTAACCAGGAGGTTTTATATATAGACTAAGAGAGTGGACTGAGTGTTTCTTTGCCAGCCGTGAGCTAAAAATGGCGGACATGCACGACAGAGACAAAAGGAATATGCGGCCACAAGTATTCTGTATTCGTTGAAATACGATTAATTAAAATAGATATTTATAACCATATTACATTCCATTGTAATATTATAATTTTCAATAATATGAAAATTGTTATAAACTCAAATTGGAATAAAATATAGGTATTGGCCGCACGTTCGCTATCTCTCTTTTTGGAGTGTCAATTTCATGAAAGTATCGCTCTGTCCATTCTCTAGATGTATGGTTTTATTTTATACGATGGAGCAGCATGACAGCGTGCACTTGCGCGGCGCGTCGGCCTCCGCGTCCGGCGACACCTGGCCGCGCTTCTGCGCGGACATGGCGCGGATCAGCGTCAGAAACGCCTGTGAGGAACAAACACACATATACCTAATCAAACTTATTGAGCATTTATTAAACAAAATAAACGTGAATAATTTAAAGGTTTTCAAGGTTAATTAAGGTGTAATGGTGTCGGGATTATTGAAGTGAAAACTTCTATAGGCAGGTTTGGATGGGGAGTTAATTCATGTAAGTCGTCATCGACATGGTCACGTGACGTGTTAACGCTAAAACTCTAGAGTGCCGATAGATGTCAAAACCAGATAAATGTAAACAGTTTTATTTTCAAATTTTAATTTAGGATCAAACAATAAATTTGAATATCCAAAAACTGGTTATTTATAGTTTTAAGAGTTCACTTCTATCAGCCTCATGACGGCTTTTTTTGGTACTTTAATGTTTTTTATACAAATCATTTTAGTTGAATCCATAATGTTTTTTAATATTTACAACTAAACAATAAAAATATACTTATAATTTTTTTATTTAAAAAATAATCTCTTTTATGAACTTGTTTTTTTAAATCACATTACCTTATTTGGTACAGGTGTTTGAAAATATTAAATAAACAAAAATATATTTAAACATTTCTTATTGATTGAACACGGAGAATGAAATTTAAATATTTTTGAGCAAAATTGAGCCTAATGCTCATAACTTGAGGAACTTCTTTTTTAAATTATCACGAGATTAAAACTGCAAACTACGAACTTCATATACTCTAGCAGTAGTTATAATATTAAAATAAAAAAGACGAGCATTGTTGCAAATCAGTATAATTTTTGCTTGTTCTTTGTTATAAATGATCTGTGGGAGTTGATATATGCGTACATACTACATACATACATAAATACATTACAATATTACACTATAGGACACCGAGAGGTGCGTTCGGGCACTTCCATACTCTTACAATAAGTTAATTCAGACTGATGTTTATCATTTGAGCTTTTATCATTTTAAGTAATTATATTCCATCAACATTTTAAGATGAACTTTTAAAATAATTTTTTTGAGCAAAAGGGATAATTCTACAAATGCTACAAAAGATATAAATATATTTTTTTATACTGTTATTTTTTGCTTCGCTTAAAGAAATCAAGACAAGAGCTTACTTTCATACTTGGGCAACAATATGTTGTTTCACGCACTCTCAATAAAATATTATCCTTATTCACCTCCAAAACGAATAAAATATGCAAAAAATAAAGCAGTTACGTAATTTGGACTTGCCATTGCTGTAAATATTGTGTGTTACTATATTTAAAAACCACATGAAAGTTACTAATATGAATAAATTCGTAACAGGTCCTTTATAGTTTTTTTGTAGCATAGCTATTGTATATATAATATTCTATTTTATAACTTAATATGCTGATGCAATATAAAGAACGTACAGCACAGCCGTATGTCGCCCGACGCACCGCAACGCAACTTATAATACTATATTACTTGTATCATATAAGTATGAGGCCTACCGTGTAAAGTAACCGCACATTGAAGACCATGAATGAATCAATACAATGAATGATTAAGATTACCAGTTTTTACTTTTATTTTATGATATTTTAAGTAAAAGGATCTGCGATGTGCGGTAATCATTTTCTCCTTTTGTAAGAATATTACATTATATGCAACTACATGTAATCATTTAGACGAAGATAATTATTGGTAAAAATAAACAATACCGGATATATTAGATCAAATTTAATAAATAATTGCTCAATATTAAAAAAAAACTTTTGATAAATCTGTGTGGTAACAGCATATCTTAGAATGATCTAAAAAAGTGTTACCACTTACGATATGACAACGACAGGCTGTTTTTTTTAATTTAGAAATAATTTTAAAAAAATAACAATCTTCATATATCCCATAGTAGTGCATATGATGTAATGTTTGGAGCTAACCGAGTGTTACGAAGAACTATGTATATCGTATATAAGTGAAGTTTGGCAGTTTCATACATAAAAATTGAGAGCCAATTACTAATTATATTAAATCTATTATTTAAAACCATTTATTGTATTGTTAAGTGAATTTCGTAATTATAAAAAAAAATAATTCAATTTTTTTGTAATTTAATTCATTTTTCCTTTTAATAATTTTATGGATTCAAAGCGTGCCATATAAGCACAGCTTAAAAAGAAATTTAAATGTTGAATACAGTATTTTATTTATTAGCAAAATTTCACACATGAATATCAGACAAAAATGCGTACAATCCACGTACAAAGCTAGCATTTAGGGAAACGTCGTGTAATATTTGATCATTATTAAAAAAATATACAAAAATATGTTTTATTTGTGAAGTTGTTATTTGGCATTAGTTATATTAAGCTTCTGGTCAAAGTCAATGATATTTCAAAATTTCTTACATAAATTGTATTTTACAGTACGCCATAGAAATTTACTAATTTGTAGTCTCATTGTTCACTTACATATAATTGTGCACGCGATTGTTAAGTTTTTAAGAGATTTTGGCGTACAAAATAGTTGGTCCTTCAACCGGACCGTTTCGTCACGAGCGAATACTATATGATGTATTCACTTTACTTCGAAGAGATCAATCATCGTTGGTATCTTTCAACCGGTTTGGTGAAACTCATAAACATACCAATCTAACATTTATTTTGACTTAAGTTATAGTATAGATATAGTATAAAAGCCCCTAATTTTACAGAAAACAATAGAACAGGATCCACAAATGCACATATTCAGGAAAATAATTAATTCATTATAATATAATATGAAGCGGACACAATACTATTCCGTGAGCGGTGCACACATTACAATAAAATAAGGGTGTTTACAGAAATACTTTATATATTGTATTAGCAATTCAAATAAAACTAAATATATATTTAACACAAAAAAACGAATGAAAATTCCTAATTGAATATAAATAACTCACAAATATATGGTTTAAAACATACCATAGAGTATGATAAATTTTAACCGCCAGTTAAATATTTCCATAAACACCACAATGCAGACATTTACACACATACACATACAGCTCTTAAATCTAAAAATAAATACAGAAAATTATTCGACATCATGTACTTAACTCAAAGGGCAACTATCCTCCACGCGCGTCTGGGAGCACGGCCGTAGGTACTAATATTATAAAGTTAAAAATAAAATATTTTACTATTTTATATATAATGTTATATAAAGTTGAGATTTTATATTTCGAACACAATTCTATTATCTAGCTCCATTGTATTTTATTCCAATATCACTTTCGATAATTAGATAAAAAAATACTTTAGATACTATAGTATTATAAAAAGACATGGACTCAAATGTAGTGTGTAATAAAAAACTATTCTATTTCGATATAGAACATCATTAAATAGAAAATAACATGCAAGCGATGCTTTAAATATAAGGAATATTTCACCGAGGCCTGTCCCCCTGCCCCCCGCCGCGGGGGCCTCGCGGGGACAGGGCTCGGCAAAGCACCAGCACCAGTGTGGGCGAATATACATTTACATAGCCTGGCTTAGTCTACGCGTGTAGGCCGCTCCGAACGCGACACGGCCACGACACGACGCGCACTGATCGAGTCACTGCACTACACGGCCGGGCCCGTGCGGGCAAGGGGCGGGGACCCAGGGGGCCGGGGGCCCGGGCTCGAGGGGCCTACAAAATGGTGCATTTGATTTTCCTGCGCGTCTTCCTCTTGACGTCGCCGTTGGTGGCGCGGCTGTCGTCCGACTTGCGCGAGCGGATCTCGCGCATCAGGTCATAGAACACCTTAGGAACAAGATTGAGATCAGCCACCGACACGCACAGAGCAGCACAGCACCCACCCCCACTCCCACGCCCACACACTCTCACATACAGGAAGCAATTCCGTCGAAAATTGTCAAACGAGTCACATCTCAATTCAGCAATAACATAACGAATATTAAATTGGAAATAATATATTATAATAATATATATAAATAATTCTGTAAAATTTAACCGACTGAGCCCACGACTGATATAGCAGCATCAGTTTATACAGTAAGTTCTTTATTAAATAAAAATGACTTTTTAATATAATTTAATTAAGTTTAAAATTCCTTAAACATCTTTTATTGATAAAGCCTTAAGTAACTGTCAAATTATTGCTGGCTGAAATTCTAGCGATCTCGCTTAACGCTTTACGACGTCGAGAAAAACAATTTTATCACAAGATTTAGCAGCAAATTTTCCCATCACCAAAAGTTTCAGTTTGAAATTATAATTCATTTTTATGGAGTGAAACATTTCAACTTGAAGAATATTATAATTATATAAAGGGAAAGGAACTGATATGAAATCAATATATTATCAAAAGGCGACCATCATGACGCAAAAACACTGACTAGTTGATATTGAACCGCGCACTGGAGGTGCGAATTCGAATCCTGGAAAGGGTAAGAGTTTTTACTAACCTAGCGAAACCATACGAGCACACAACTCTCACTCTCTCTTTCTCTATATCTCTATACCTACATGTAAAAGATGGCGTGTAGATATAAATATGATCACTACAAAAAGCATAGCGCTGCCTGGCTGCAAGAGAACATACAAAGCCAAGACAGCCAAGCAGAGCTGTGCACAAGCTGTAAGCCAACGTAAAAATCTAACTTGTCTACATCGGGAATCGTACGCGTTTTAAATGATAATTATTAAGTAAATGTCACTATAAAAATAATTAATCATAATTGGAACAAGGTCTCTTTTTAATAATGTTTCCGGGTAGTTTGTAAATATATGTATGTATACGATATGATAGAATATTTCATACTGAATAAAAAATGTTAAAACAGTGTCACTAAACTTGTTGGACAAAAAACTATTGAAGTAATTCTATGTGTGTGGTGTGTGGAGAGTGTGGGGGAAGGGCGTGGAGGGGGGGGGGGTACCTTGTCAACGTTGTCGCGCGTCTTAGCGGAGGTCTCGACGTAGGGCACCTGCCAGAGCGCGGCGCGCTCGCGGCATGCTTCCAGCGGCACGCGCCGCTTTTCGCCGAGGTCTGACTTGTTGCCCACCAGCAGGAACGGGATGTTCTCGTCGTTCTTCACGCGCAGGATCTGCTCTCTGCCTCATCCAACACGACACGACTCGATAAACATTCCGATTTTATTATATTTCATGTATTCTAGAATCGGGTTTAAAAACTAACCGACGTAATGTCAGAACCAAAAATTATATACATACAAATATTTATAAATCCATTGCTTTATTGCTACACGAAAGATGGACAAACCGACAAACTAAAAACATTTTTAATATAATATAAATAAATAGAGAATTTACAGTGTTATATATGTTACAGTCAAAACTATTTTTTAGTCAAAACTACTTTTGACTAAAGAGGTTAGTCAAAAGTTAAGAAAATTCGACTCAGAATTTTATTATAGATATAAATCAAGGGCGACATATAACCTGAACTCCTGCGTAGCGTCGAAGCTCTCCGGCTCAGTGATGGAGAAAACGCAGAGGAACCCTTCGCCGGAGCGGAAATAATTATCCCGTATGGCGGCGTAGTCCTCTTGTCCTGCCGTGTCTAAAATATCTATCTGGACCTCCTCGCCATCCAACACTACCTAATGTACCATACAGTTTTATATTAGAGAGAAGTCAGAAACAATAGCTAGTTTAAATTAGAAATTAAACAACAAAAATCAACGGACAGCAAAAATTGAAATTTAGTTACATTAGTTTTTTCAGAAAACAGAGAAAAAAAGAAAAAAGAGAAATGATACTACTTAAAAAAAATAAGCGCCGACTTCTCCTTTTTTTTATCGGTTAAAAATTGACTCCATTATTTATTTTTAACAAGCTTAGTTTACAAATGAAATTCCTTTACTCTGCAATTTCGAAATTCGAAGTCAAAATGACTTTACAAATAAAAACGTTGAATAATTGAAATAACTATTAAAAGTGCAGAGCGTCGAACAGACAACGTGACTGTCTCGAGGCCGCGCGACGCCGCGCGCTGTAACTCTTCCAAGTATCGATTTCCAAGATTATAAGACTTACGAGTATCATTCGCATATTTTAATGTATCAATTGACAATGACACTACGGGACTTAAATACGTGAATTCGTAAACAGCTAAATACTTACCTTATTCCCGACGTGTTGCAACAGCCGTGGTCAGTCTGCCCGTGACCACGGCTGGTGCAACCCAACGTCATTATTATACAATTATGGAACGCGACAATTGAAAAAGTTATATCAATTGATAATATCGTAATTTATTGTTTTTATTGCTATTGATAAAAATCTACTTTTCGATATTATTAAATGGCAGTTATCTCCTTCTTTTGATCACACTTGGATCGATTCAAATATTAGATTTAAGCAGATATGGAAATCGGACGTGAGTGTCGAAGCTTATAGATCTGTGCATCATCAAAACATCTAAATATAGTACATGTCAAGTGTTTAAATTGAAATGGTAGTTGTATCTATCATACAAGGACAGCATGCGTCATATAAGTTGACTCAAGTTGGTATTACATCTGATGATAAAAGAAGAACGCCATATTGGTTCTAATTACGTATGAACATTCCAATCGTAATACAATATTAAGCACATTTGGTATTTTTACCTTTTTCCTATAACTATCAGCCTTGGTCGGCTCGTAGTCCTCCACGAACTCGTCGTACATGAACTGCAGCGTGAGGGCCGACTTGCCCACTCCGCCGGACCCCACCATGATCACCTTGTGCAGCGTGGGCTGCGCTGCGGGCTTCTTCGACATTTTGGGACCCAAAAGTCGGGTGCACTGGAATTAATAAGAGAATAAATCATAAATAATTTACTAAGGAGCAATTAATACAATGCATGTCTGAGAGAACCTAGCAAGTTTTCAAAAGACATGTGAAGTCCGCCAACCCGCACTTGGTCAGCGTGGTGGACTATGGCCTGATTCCCCTCGTGCTGAAGGGAGGCCCGTGCCCAGGAGTGGGTCGTTAAAAAGGGCTGAATACATGTTTGTTTATAATTTGATTGTTTATGTTTTTTATGTCATAACACAAGCCTTAAAGGTAATGAAAATCGAGCGTAAATTGTGTAGATAATTTAATATAAAATACAAAAAGCAAAAAATAAATACATATATAATGAAAATAAGGGCGAGGGTTCTATTAACCCGCAAAATGCTTAATCCACAATATCTCAAAGAACGATCAACTTGATGGGCCGCCAATGCTGATCCTATCACTAACAACAAAACAAAAGAACTTCTAACTATGAGGCATATTTAACGTACTTTCTGAAAGTTATACCGAAGTTATTATCCCAAAAACGAAAAAGTTATAGTAATCAAAAATTTATACGAGTTTGCTCAAGCTTTATTTATATTTCTAAATTGGAGATTTATTTTATTGCGTATATAAATACACGATATCTTCGCCATTTCTGAACCAATTTTTATGGTTTTTTTCGGTAATACAACACACATATGGTATATGTCCTTTATAAACAAGAAAAAATTACCACCCCATAGTGCCTTTACGAAACTTTCCTATAAATGCTGTATAGATATCTCTTTCGTTAAAAAGTAATAAACATACTCAATATATTTTTTATCTTATTTTTAACTCATTCATTTTCTATCATTAACCGAGTTCAAAAAAAGGAGGTTTTCAATTCGTCGAGGACTTTTTTTTTATGTATGTTCCCCGATTACTCGACGATGGCTGGACCGATTTGTAAAATTCTTTTTTTGTTTGAAAGGGTATAGTTTCTAGTTGGTCCCATAGTCACCAAGTCACGATCCGATGATGGGATCCCAGGGAAATCGAAGACAACTCTCAAATTTTATAGGCACTTATTACGTTTTTCATATATTTCCTAAAGCTGTTCAAGTATTTGCGTCTGATAATCATCATCTCCTGTGGTTGAGCTAATGATGGAAGGTACAATTCCTCAACGGTTAGGAGTTAAGCACTTATTACGTTTTTCATATATTTTTGTGTTGTTTGAAAGTGTATACTTCCAGATTGGTCCCATTTAAATTTCAAAAAAAAACCACCCCTAAGGGTGGAAAAATAGCTAATGATGCATTTAACCTACTTCTAATTGTCATATTGACTTGAAACTTTGCAAGTGTTTCTATTTCCGTTGATAGTACAGTGGTTCGGTATTGTTGACCTGATCTGATGGTAAGGCTAAATAATTAAAGCCTACCTATTAAATACATACCTAATCAAATATTTTCGAAATCGGTGCCAGCCCATACAAAGCAAAGCACACCGACTTCGAAAATATTTGATTAGGTATGTATAGTAAATGAAAACTACCAATCAGTTATTTTTACTTTTTAGTGCTTTTGTTTGAAGTCGGTTTTTATTTTTTGTTAAAAAGTTTGTTTTATCTATACTAAAATTATAAATGTGAAAGTTTATTAGTATGGATGTATGGATGTTTGTTACTCTTTCACGCCAGAAAGGCTGAACGGATCTGGATGAAATTTGGCACAGAGATACACTATAGTCTGTAATAACACATAGGCTACTTTTTATCCCGGTAAAATATACAGTTCCCGAGGGAAAGATTTCTTTTTGTTTTTGAGCTGTTTTTAACCCGAGTGAAGCGAGGGTGAGCCACTAGTTCCATTATAATTTTTCATCACGCCGCTAGCCACATCCATAAAAGGACAGTAGTATTATCAGAGCCATCAAGATGAACTCAAAAGGAAATACGTGGGCGAAGACGGGCGTTGGCACTTTTCATCTGTTGCTAGGACAATGTGCATCGTTCCGCGCGGTCTGATTTGATAATCAAGTAATAGGCAGCCTAGATCTGTAATTTTCTGCAGTCAAGCTCAAGTAGATCACCTACAAATACTATAATTTGAATACTTTTTTATTTCTATAATTTTTATTACGGATCCTAAAACATTAGTTCAACAATATGACATTAAAACATAGTTATAAGCTCTTTTCACCAATAATGAATTTCCAATAAGAAAAATAATTAACCTTTCTAATCTCATCGCTATATATTCAATGCAGTTGAGTAAATTTGAATCGATTTCGATTTGTAATAAGTCAAATCGAAAAGCTGCTCTGCTCTGGTTAACTATTTTTCACATAGGTATTATTCATTATTACAGGCGCAGATTTTTTGCTTTCTATTCGTACTATTATTTAATTTAGGGAAATGTCTTAATAATGTTTAACATCTATTACTCATCACCATATACATGTGTCGGGACAGAATCAGCTTAAATGATTACTATCAAGATTTATAAGGATGAAACTTTCATGTTCTTTTTTTATATATTTTTTCACGATAGAAAAAAAACAGTTTTTTGTAACACTATGTGTGTGACAAAATTTTTAGTAGGGGAGCCCACGATCCTAAATGGGGATTTACTCGAGCGTCGTAGAGACCTATTGGGATGCAAAGCTTAGATGATAAGAAGAAAAAAATGTTATATGATATATACCTTTACATCGGTGGGGGAAGCGGCTATAGATTTTTAAATATGTAAAAAAACTGTTGCATAGACATCCTCGAGCGCGTCAGAAATTGATAGCATCAATACCCTACGTATTTTTAATAATGTACGTATGTTAATCTGATCGTTTGCATGATGCGGGTGATTGTATTTAAGGGTTGAAAATGAAAAAAAAAATTTAATCGAGCGCGTCAGATTTTCTAAGGGAGTGTTAAGTGCACCAAAAAAAAGCTCTCATTCAATAATCTGACGATTTCGATGGGACGCAAACTCGCGGCCATTTTCATAATGTGCAAAAAAAAATCGCCATTTTGAAATACTCAAGCGCGTCAGATTAAGATATATATGGTTCATCTTTATGTTCTAAACGTACTGTCTCATAATCTGACGATTATCTAGAGGGATTCTCCTGATCTGACAAAAAAAAATTAGAAAAACGGTTCACCTTAAAGGCCATACCTGCAACTTCCCGCTAATTCCATTCCTGGGCGCTTAAAATTGTACTTTGACATTTTTGAGCTCAAAATATAATTTATGTGATATTTTGAGCTCGCTGAGTTCAAAGAAATAATATTTCTATGCATTTGAGGTCTCCCAGCTCGAAAGTCTGATAGAAGTTTCATAGAACACTATTTTTGGAATTTTCAAACCGCAATAACTTTTGAATAGATCAAGCAATTTTCACGCGGTTGGCGCCATTCGACGCAGTTTTATCCTTATAAGTTATTTTCAGGTTTTAATTGTTCGAACCAAAAATTTCGGAGTAATCCCGAAAAAACACTTTTTTCGGTTTTCTTTCGTTCACGATATCTCTCGAACGAATCAACCGATTTTGTCTGGATTAGCGACGATCGGCGTGGTTTTTCTAGCTTAAGGGCGGATTAGTTTTTGAAGTTAATTGATAAAGCCGGTTAAAAGTTATTCCAAAAAAACCACTTTCAAAATGATCTTTATGATCAGCTGTGATGGCGTCATGGCGGCAGAAACCAGAGTGGGGACGGAGTGAGAGAGTAATAGATAGAAAAAGAGTGAGAGAGGAATAGACACGCGGAGAAGGAAATGTAGGCATCACGCAGCTGCACGCATTTAACTTTATCGACGAATTTTTGTTATTTCGGCTTGCGGAAATCGTCAGATTATATATTTTTCATTATTCTTGAATTATTTCCTTCAAAATAAAAAAAAAATTAGCTACGCTCGAGAATGTCGAGATGACGTTTTTTTTACAACTTTGTTGCCCTCCCCTTTTTTTACGTAACTCTCAAATTGTCAGATTAGTGGAATATACACTTTTTAGGATGTAATTAACTCACCCTACCTTAATCTGACGCGCTCGAGAATTTCTGATGGTCAATTTTTTTTTACTAATCTGATCCTGTATCCTTCACGGGCGGCCTTATATATGGGCCTCATGTTTTGTGGAGGTACTTAACCGGGTACAAGGTATCCCCCGAATAAATCCAAGAAATCCCCGCTTGGGCTCCCCTACTATTTTCTTTTCTTTTTGATGAAACCGTGCCACGGAGTTTCTTTCGATATTATATATACTAATATTATAAAGAAATAATGTTTGTGAGTTTGTGAGGTTGTAGTGGATGGATCTACTGAACCGATTTAGATGAAATTTGGTAACAGGATAGTTTGAGACCCTGGGAAGGACATAGGATACTTTTCCCCTTAAGGGGATGAAAATGGGGATAAAACTTTGTATTGGGAAGCAAGCTAGGGACGAACCCGAGCAAAACGAGGGCGAGTCGCTAGTTTTTAAATGAAAACGTACAGTACAAATAATACTTCAATTGTAAAGTGACAGTTCCACTATCACTTGTTGGAGGTGTGTTCAATTTGCATATTATAAGGTGACGCTGGATTCATTAAGACAGTGTTGGCAATTATGAATTAGCTCAATTATTTTAAAATTTTGCGTAATTATATACAAAGTACTTTAAGGAAATTGTTGTTTTATTACTATCTAAAATTTATTGAGCATCCCTGTCTGCTTTGCGAACGAAACTTACCGCACATCTGTTTTTTGTCTTAGCCATAATATAATCTTAAATTACAAAGGAGTATTTCGTTTTAGTCCATTGTTTTAATGCTAGTTCCAAGAGAATTCTTTAGCAAAAGATACAAAATGTCTTATGTTACGGTATATGTATTACTACCTCACGGTTCGCGTTTACTGACCGTAACTAAATTGTATATACATATTTATGTAACTAATTAAAATCGCATACTAACATGCACGCCACTCCCAAAACACTAACATATTCTCACGACTCTACATTTTCAGTTGTACCGTGTACAGTAAAACAGTT